TCTGTTGAAAAAGATGCCTCCCAGAAGGTTCTTCCTTCAACTGTCATCCCAACAGCCCTTCCAGAAGACTGCAGCAAAGGGAGATGAAGATGGTAGCAGGCTATTCCAAAGGTCAGATTTGATTTAAATCAAGACTTAAATCACAATTTATTTTTTAAATAATAATGATTTGATAATTTAAATAAAATGATTTTATGGAAATTGTAATTGAAATAATGATCAAAAGCAATTTGATTTTAAAAAACATTGATTTTTATCCACACTGCTATCCCATCAGCCCTGTTAAAATAATATCTTCTCTTTTGTTTATTTTTCACCATTCTTTTTCCCTTTTGCATTGTCTCTTTTTAGACTGCTAGCCTGAAGGCAGTACAGACTGTCTTTTACTGATTTGGGTGAGAAGGACAAATTAACTTAAAGTAAAATAAAGAACCAAATAAAACATAACACACACTGTATTTTTCTCGCAGAATAATGCTATCTCACACCAGATCATGAAACCTCTCTTCAAAACAAACATGATCTTATTTACAAAACACATCACCTATGGACAAAACAGATTGTATCCCCTTATAGATAGATTAAAAATATGCTGGGTTTTTCCATTTTCAGTTTCACTCAATGGAAATTAAAATCAGGGGATAGGTGTGCAAATGTCAGGCCCTCTTCTTATTGCTTAGTGCATGGTATTAACAAGAGCTGTCATAATGAGACACCTCAATGGTTATTCTTGTCCAACGCTCTCTTCTGGAAGCTGTTGACCAAAGCTTAAAGGTACTGTGCAGAATGGTTAGAATACTGGACTGCGATTCAGAACACTCCTGCATTCAAATCCCCACTGATCTATCAAAACTCACTGGTAACCTCAGGTCAGTTAGATGCTCAGCCTGACCTACCTCAGAGGATTGCTGTTTAGAGACTAAAGTGAGAAGAACCACATACACTGCCTTAAACTCACTGGAGGAAAGACAGAATATCATCATCATCAACAATAGCGATGCTGATGATATAACCACTGCATCCTAAATCTCCTTTCTATCAATTTCAACAAATGTCACAAGAATCCCATTATCCTGTGTTTTCCTGATTTTATCAGGAATAGAAGCCTTTAAAAATAATTTAGCTTACCTGCTGTCTCCACAGCTCAAATTTTATGTCTATTATATTTTCCTCAGCTGTCCTTTTCATTCTAGAGATCCAATCTATGTGGTCTTTCAGCTACTATTTTATACACATTTCCATCTCACCCACCTATCTTTCACCTAACACTTAAAAAAAACATACTTCTATGATAGATGTTAGCTATTTCTTACACATTTGTACTGTACAGTATTTCCAACTATTACAGCAGTCTAAAGAGTATTCAAAGGCAGTTAATTCCACAAAGAGGTGGTGCAGAGATAACAGTGACTCTCATAACAGAAAGCCACCTTTTTGGACTAGTAAAAGTCAACCTAACGTTATTATTTCTAGCATGTTTTGGACAATTTCAGACTTCACATGTCTGTCTACATACTTGGGCAACTTTTATCTTAAACTGACATTTTAGCTAACTTTCCACACACTTCCAAAAAATTTCTTGTGCAACTATTTTAATCTAAGTCAGTATTTCCTTTGTTTTCATATGCTTAGAATTCATTATGCATTTCATGTAATAATACTAAGCATGTCATTATAATTATTTCTTACATTATATTCTGCCTTTCCTCCAATAAACTTAAGGAAGTGCACTTCTCGTTTTATCCTCACAAAAATCCCTATGAGGGAAATCAGGTTAAGAAAAGTATAACTAATCCAAAGTCACACAGAGAGCTGCAAAGCCAAGCAGGGATTTGAATCCAGGTCTCCTAAATCTTAGTTTGACACACTAGCAACTATATTACAATGGTCCTTACAAACTATATAACACTAACTTTTTCATTTGAAATAGAATACAGTACATCCTTCTGTTACGTTATTCAGACTGAAAAGAGCTTTCTCGAGGTCATTAGTACATTTGGTGTTTTTCTTACTAACATGAGTGGTGTGTTTTTTGGCACAGTCAAGCTGTCTCAATATTTTTATCAGATTATTTATACTGTACACCAGAAAGAACCAGACTAAGCACTTCCTCCTCTCCTATCTCTTCTATAGTCTATCATGAAAACTGTCAGCTGACACACTATTTTTTGTTTTCCTTACATTTGTAATCCATAAGAAGGCTTATCCTCTTGCCACAAAGGTATGATTTGCAACTCACCTTGAGAAGAAAATGTGCTCCCATAGGAGCAATCCAGTGGAAAACTGGATCTGACCGTCTATTCTGCACCCTCCACAAAACACAACTGTGTTTATAAACCCCTTAAAGTTGTGATGATCAGGTTGATACAATAACCCTCCATTAAGTCCCAGAAAGACAATCTCAAGAGTCCATACCAAATGAAGTACCAGCACAGTATTCAGTACCTACCATACTACTGTAACTGGGACAGTAAAATGATGGCAATATTAACATATACAAAAGAGGAGACATTTGCTATGTAGCTATCTGCAGCCCTGGGTGTTTAATTTCTATACATCTGAGGAGCCCAACACAGTGCTCATAAGTAACCTCCATATATTTCCCTTGGCACTCTAGAGGTCACCTCTTCCCTATCCCATGTGATTTATGTGAACATCTCCTCCCAATTAGATCTGCCCGTCATATACAATCCTCCCAGGTCGGGCAGTTAAGAATATCCAGAAAGTGAAGACTAGAAATCAGGCCATCTTGGTAGTCACCCCCAACAGCCTCCTGCCAAAAATCCACCTTGCCCCTTCACTGGAAACTTTTCAGCGGCTGGTAAAAACATGGTTTTAAAGACAGGCCTTTCTGGACCTTTAAAATCTTAATATAGTACTGAAGACTTATATTATCAATCCTGCTGCCTTAGTTTTTATCATTTTAGTTATTATTAGTTAAATTCTTTTGACATGTTTATATTTAACTGACTTATATTATTATCTTCTTTTTAATTCTTACTAATGATATGTGGGTCAACCATGTAAACCGCCCAGAGTAGCCTTGGCAGCTGGGATGGGCAGAATAAATATCAATCAATCAATGAAAGAAAGAAAGAAAGAAAATAAATTTATTTTAATATCTTCTGAAAGCAAGACTTGCTTCCAATCACTTTGCCATATTATCTTTTTTTCCCCTAGAGGAAACCTATGAAAAAGAGAAGAATGAGGTAACTGAAGCTTACATTCTTGAGTGCTCAAACCACCCTTTAAAAGAGTGCAAAATGGGCTTGCTATTATCTGCAGAGGCTGGGGGAATACAGTCAGGGCACCCTGGGGAAGCGTTCTGGTGCTCTGCTTAAATTTCTGTGTGTATTTTTGCCTTACTTTTCTCAGAAATATGAATCAGGGCATGTTTGTGCAGAGGGGTGCTGCTGCCAGTATGGGAGTTTGTGCTGGTTATCCCACACAGTATCACCAGTTTTCTTCAGAAAAAAAACAGGTAATTTGAAAATGTGAATTACATAAGATGTGTTTAGTTCAAATCTAAATTCTGCTTGCATTAAGTTTCCTGAACAAATATAAGATTCTCATATTTTATTTTTGAGAAAAGGGGAGACCTCTGAGTTAAATAGGGACAAATGTGTGATTTTGCTCCCCTCTGGCAGCAAACCTATTTTTTTGGACAAGCTTACTTGTCTCTTATGACCAGCCAGACCACCATTCTGCAGCAATACTCAAAACAATTCAAATTTCATATACATATACACAGGCTCTAGACATCTGTGAACTCTTAGTAAACAGCTACAATCCACTGAAGAAAATTAAGCTAAACAAGAGATCATGAAACATACTGTATCTTGGAAGTAAAGAACTAAGTGGTGGCTGTATGGGATTTTCATATATATAAATACAGAGTGTTGGGTTTTCTGCTATACAGCCAAAAATGACATTGTCTCCAAAGCAGGAGCTCCAAACCAGCATCTAAGATGCACCTCAGCTTCAATTCAATGTCACACTATAGTAGATACTCCATTTAAAAGCTGCCCATAAGGGGAGAATGAGCACACAACCTTCCATCTTCCCCCATTGCCATTATGGTTATACACTCAACAACCATAAGACACCCAGAAAGTGTTCAGGAGGTTGTCTTTCCAACAGGCAGTATACTGCAGGCAAGGTGCTCTGTTTAAAACATTTACAAAGTTTAGATTATTCCTTCTGCAAGAAAATAATACAGGGCTGCAAAATTGTCCTTCTGTAATTCTGGTGGACATTACTACAGAAAAACAAAGTGTCCCTGCCTCACAATCAACAACTTAGGAAGGGTCCACGTAACAGATCACAACGAAATCAGGAGAAATATGTTTCTGTGCCCTTTACCATAACTGGTGAGGAAAAAGTTCACCGTGCACCTTAAAAAGAATTCTATTACACAGAAAATAATTTCCCCATTTGAAAGGGGCTGATAATTATACTGAAAAATTCCAAAAATCTAGAACCAAACGTTAAAAAGACGAGATTAAACGCCCAGCTTCAAACGCCCTGCACTTGGAAGGGGCAAGGCCTGCCTCTGGTAAAAAGGGACTGCAGCCCCGACAAGCCATCTATCGGCCCGCTTCCTTTCTCCACCCTCTCCCGGCGCACCTACGCCCCCGCCCGCCCTCCTTTCTCCGAGGTAAATAGGCTCCACGAAAAGGAGCAAGGACCACCATAAGGGCGACACCTGAAACCCGAGACCGACTGCAGCAGGAGCTCCTGCAGCACCGCCCGTTGTCCCCGGATAAGGAAGAGAGGAAACAAGAGCCCGAGGTCGTCGACCCCCCTCTCCCCGGCGAAGGAAGAAAGGAGAGAAATCTCCCTCCTCCTCCTCCTCCTCTTCCCCCGGAGCCCAAGCGGTATCATCATCATCAGCAGCAGCAGCAGTTCCCAGCCCCCCTCTACACAAACAGAAAAGGGAGCGCGGGGCGCCAGGCGGCCAGCTCCCCCCACCCACTCACCCACCGCCCGAGGAGACTCACCGCTAGGTCCTGGGGTACAGCTCCGCTCATGGCCCGCACGGTTCCGCTTCTCCAGGCCCGGGAAGGCAGTGCAGGCCCAGGCTCCGGCCCCGACGCCTCTCCTTCGCCCGGCCCCGCTACCAGCAACAGCAGGAGTCGCTTCCCCACCGGGGAGGCTGCCGCGTCCGCCATCCCCGCTGGGCCGAAGGCGCCGCCGCCGCCGCCTCCAACTCAACAGCCGCCTCAGAAATCGAGCCAGCCAGCGACAGCCCTTACGCTGGGCCCCCAGAACGCAGCCCGCCCTGATCCCAGTGTGCCCCGCGCCAAGCTTTCCTCCGATCCCAGCGTACTCTGCGCTGATCAGACCCTCCCGTAGTTTCTGTTCCCAGCATGCACTGCGAAAGCTCTTATTTATTTACTTCTTTCCTCCCGGCATACTTTGCGGCCACTACGCTTTTGCCCTATGCGTCCCCTCCCCTGGTTTTCCCTGCAGGGGGCAGTGTAAGGCCTATCTCGTCTGTCCCATGTACAGTATTGCTCGCCTCAGGGCTTAAGACAGACTGTGCTGGGTGGGAATAGATATCTGTCTACTCCAGCATCTTATTCCTAGACTGCCCAACCAGTTTTATTTATTTAACTTATATGCCGCCCACACTACCCAAAGTTCTCTGGGTGGCTTACAACAATTTAAATACTGTACAGTTGCCTATGGAGTGCCCACAAACCAGACATAATAGCATCCTGTTCATGTGCCCTAGCAACTGATACTAAGAGGAAAGTTACATGCATACATCTCGACTTCTAACTATCCCGTACCCATATCACTTGCAGTATTATTCAACTCTCCCCCCAGAAAAGGCCTACTTTGCATAAACATACTTGAGGTATCCTGCTGAGGAGAGTTCTGCAAAAGTTAATTCCATCATACCTTAGTTGAGCTGAAAGATAAAAGGGCTGCCTTATTCTGAAGTTCAATGCAGAGGGAGACTAAGATCTGCTTTCAGAGAGTGTACTGATGGAAAGGTCACAGACAGCTTAGAATCATAATTACAATGAAAGACTTTCACCATCTGAAACTGTAAATCATTTAAGTGTACACAAAACAATAGTTAGGCACTTTGAAAAAATCCAGTCTAATAGTATACACTATAAAATCCTTTTTTCCTTGTAAAATGTGGCTATTTCTCTGTCATTCAGTGACATGGCATGCAAAGAAGGTTGGCTAGAATAAATAAATACTTCATTATCTTCTCTTCCCAAGTGAACTAGGGTTCATAAAGGCACTATTACACTATAGTTACTGTAACCTGCATTGATAATTTTGTAATTGTTCTCAGAATTTTTCCATTTTACTGTCATAACTAGATAAAATAACTATATGTGGTTAGGGTTTTTTTTGTCAGCAACAAGAGAAAATATATTTAAAAGATATTTTGAAATAGAGTAGTTTAAAGTACTCATTCTCCATGATATTATTTATAACACACAGCACACTGGAATTTGGGGAATATCTTAAATATGAGGATTTTAATATTCAGACCACATCGTTAATTATGACATGAATTTACCCCAATCATTTGACCCCTGCTTACTATATGCCTCTTAAAGAAAATAAACAAACAGTATTCTAGCCGCACAAAAGGACAAATGTTTATTGTGTTATAGATTCCATCCCTACTAATAAAAAACCACTGTGAAATAAGGAGATTGATGTCACCATAAAGGAAATATTTATTAAAATATATTCAAGAAATTGTCAAACTTCTAACAAAAGCCAGGAGAAAGTTGAAGGGAGAAACAACTGTACAGGAAACATTATTGGAAATGCTTTTACATGCTTTATTGTTTAAGTTTCACAGTTTAGTTATTGTCTACAAAAATATATTTCTGAAACTCTGAGTCCTCTATAAAAAAAAGCTGGTCAGCAACAGCAAACTTGACAAGTAGAATATACCTTAGGACAGAGTGAGCTCCTCCTGCAGATTAGCTTGGTATGACCCAGGACACTCTTGCCTCAACATTAGGAAAAATACGTTCTTTGGGATTACGCTCCACATTAATTCAGAAGGAAGGCAATTTAAACATGAGTTTTAATTTCACCCATTCCTTTCCTCCCCCAGCATGCAAAAAACATGGAGCAAAAAGTTGCACATTATACATATGAGAAAGGGGTTCCTGAACGAACATTAGGTGTCAGGAGAGAATCTGATGTTAGTATTTATACCTATGATTCACCCCTTTCTGTGGCAACTGCTGTTGATTATTGTTCTAACCAACAATACACACGTGCAACTGGAGCACTTTTATCAGCACCCGGCCAGTCCTGCTTTCTGGAACAGAAGCTTGATTAGCTAGAGTCTCTGGCTGCTCAAAGTAATGTGTCCTAATCTGAATGCTCAAAGTAATGCCACTCTGCTAATTTTGAAGTAATTTTAATTCTCAAATGGAGGTCTGGATAATACTGGTTGTTTTCAAAGGTTTAAGGCTTGAACCATGCTCTATCAGCATTCAGAGACTAACACAACCCTACCACTGATGGATATATATTCCTTGTATGGCAAGCAGCATGGTTTCTAGAAAACAAGAAGCTCAGTGCTAGCCAGCTATCATCCCTATCTCTCCTCTTGTGGAGACTTTACCTGATAAATCATTAGAGGTATTCATGTGTAAAAAATATCTTGCTTACTAATACACGGCTGCCACCTTTAATTAAGTGCATCTTACACTATCCCTGAACAGGCAAGATAACAGAGTCTGGGCACTCCCACAGTTGGGACCTGATTTAGAAATCTTATAAACAGAAGACAGGAATTGCCAACAGCAAGTTGAGGAAAAGAAACTGCTGATATACTGTACTCTGCTTGTAATACAATATGACACAGGGGAATCACTGTCCTGATTCTCTAAAGAAGGAACACTCAAATTATGGGTTGCCCACATAGAAGAGGCAGTTATCAAGCCAATGGAGTTAGCTGGTTTGTAATAGGCCACTAATACACCATCATCTCCAAGAGGGGCTGGTGCCCTGGCTAGTAAGAGGAGAGACATTATATCGGAGGAAATACATATTCTGTATAATTCCGTAAAGTTCAAGAAACTAAAAGGGCCTAAGGGCCCTATAGAACTCTCGGCTCCTCCTCCATAACTACCACTTCCTACCCTTTGTCTTTCTACTCCAATCTCCATGTCCTTCATACTGTGCATTTCCTTGCCCCCTCAGTCATAGTACAGCATCCCAAATATAATGAAAATATATTGGAAGCAGAAATACATGCATACTTATGTTATTATAAATCAGCTTTGTGGCAACTTAAAGACTGATAGATTTATTATGGTATGTTTTGTGGAGCAGAGTCACCTTTGCCACATGTTAAATTGGTAGGTTTTGTACCTGGCAATTAAGAATTACAGTTCTTGCACATAACAAAGTCAACACTGGTCTACAACAGCTTATACCTTAATAACTGCATCTGTCTTTGACATGCCACAATACGCTTGTATTTACTGCAATATATTAACACAGCTATCGCTCTGGATATTATTCAGTGGCTAGAATCCTCTTACATACTTAAGCTGGTGTTAACTCCAACCATGTAAATTTTATCAATGAACTTCCATGAATTTAAAACTTAGCACTTGTTTTCCTTATCATGTGCCAAGTCATCCAACAGCTGTGTAACAAGAAAAGCTAGCACTAACTTGTAGCAATTCACTGTTGACATTTATGCTACTGTAGTTACACTGGCAGGTGTAAGTAAAAGGATTCGGGGCATTATGTGTCAAAACATGGATGCAGTGGAATAGAATTTGACAGAAAATATACAAAGCCCTGAACTGCCCACAGGAGCAACACCTGATGATATGACTATCTAGGATGAATAAAAAGTGTGTTAAATACTTTGTAGATGGGACTTCTGTTAAATAAATAGACTGCGAAGGGCAATATATGCAGCCCATTCATAGCCAGAAAGTTTACTCACTAGAGAATACAGCTTTTCAAGGGTTTATGAAGACATAATAGAATGCTGGGCCTCAAATTGGGGCTAACAGCTCAGCAGCAGGCCATGGGACATCAAGCTGTGTTTCCCCTCTCAGATTCATCCCTTCTGCCCTTTATACCTTGATTTAGAGCTACATCTGACCAATACTACTCCCAACCAATAGTTTTTTGCAACAGTCTAAACCTAATTTTGGAATGGGGGCATACAGGAAAGTCACAACACAAGAAGAAGGTATGGAACGGAGGCAATCCTTTAACTCCTAAGAGTCCAACGTGTTATATGCCTGCACCAGCACAAATGGCTCATGATTATAGAGTTTAGGATAGTTACAGCAGATTAGTACAAATATTAATTTAAAAAAAACTTGTTGCTTTTGTGTCAAACTAAAGCACTTCAGAGCTGGAGGCTTCATTCAAAGGCTCACCCCCCTCTTTCTGCCACACTTAGCACTAACATTGGTTAGAGCACTTCCCCCATGCACATACTGCTAAAAACCCTGAGCAACCCAAGAGGTATGTGAATTTTAAACACATAGTCATAATCATCCAAGAGACTATAAAGCTATTGTGCCTCCCCAACTACCAGAGCCTACACTACACCAAACACTTCCAACTCACATTCTAACAAAAGCACACACTATCAGGGAACCATATACCACCTCAAGGAAAGAACGAAATTGGCTCTCAACACATTCTCAACTGGCAGGCACACAACCTAAGGGATCATGTGCCTGCAAGTTAGCCCTTGCCATTGAAAAAAAATCCTGCAACATTTGCAAAACACTTCAGAAAACAATGGGAAGCCTGAGAACAGGCTAGCCTTTTAACAAGATCAGTTGTAAATACCATTCCCTCTAAGCTGCATGTGCACATGCAGTGCTGGATCAAGGTCACAAAACCAAGCCAGTGTTGCCACCTATTTGCTTCTGGTTGAGACCAGAAGCTTGCAAACATAGGACAGAGCTCATGCCCAGCATTCCAGAAAGTTAGAGGGAATGTTGGTTGTAAATCATACCTAAGCTGGGGTTTCTATGTTACCCAACTGGAATTTTTATCTGGAAAAACCAAGGGAAAGATAGATTTCTATTAGAGCAAAGACTTCCCATTTTTCACTCCCAAAGTTCACCTCTCAAGCTGTATTCTGAAGCAGTCTTCATTAAAAACCATAGTTGTTGCATGGCCACGAAGTTCTGTGGTGTCCAAGTGACATGACGAAGCTGTCTTCCAGCAAGAGAAAATACTTGGTTTCACAATGAAATATATGCTGCTTGAACAATGTACCAGGGAATGATAAATTTATCCTCCATAAAAGACAATTTATAGAGATTAAATGCCTCATTTGCAACAATCAAGGCAGAAAAACTTTAGAAATTGGCACAGAATAGGCCACCTATATAATTTCAAGAAAAATATCTGCAGGGTATTCAAGAGTGAGTTTTGCTGGGCTTTGTTTTTTGCGAGATAAGGACTCAATTCAGAAAAAAATGTCTGAAGTAAGGAATATGAAGATTCAGCACATACACCTGGGATATTTCGCACTAGACAACAGAGGGAATAATCCTAGGTTCAGCTTTAGATGTGTGTTAAAGAGACGGCTCAAAGACACTTAGGTCATAAGTTAAATTCTAAAATGTAAGCATAATCATCTTCTTGTAAGCAAAGTTGCACTATTATGAGAACAAAGACCAGACATTTATGCAACCTAAAGCCTTGAGTTCGGAAACTTCGACCCCTCTACGTAGGGCTGAGTGTTCATTCCCTGAGCTGGGCCCAAATTTCAGCTGAATCTTCCTTCTCATAATTTTAGAAGCATCTTGCTGTCAAGAAAAGTCAACTGATTCTTCGTACATGTTTTGAACACAAATCAGAAACCAGGCAAAATTTCAAATTTCCCTGGCTTTCGTTATTACCTAATCTCAGCCTACTGGTAGCAAGTAATCCACCAACCACATCAATTTAACAGCACGTAGGCAGAGTTCAAAGTAGCAGGTCCTCACCAATGAGCAAGGACAGTCCGTATGCACAGCCTCCTTCCCAACCCAGTTACAGTGTTCTTTGTCACTTGGTACCTGAGACTTAGCTCTCTTCAACCTAAGAAGCCACATTTTTAAAAAATCCACACCAGCTTTGGAATGACTGGTGTTTTCAGTGTTCAGCCAGGTACTTCTCTTCTCCATAGCACACAGTGGAGGCACATGCACAAGAACTTGCTTGTTAAAAACTAAATGTTATCAAGAGGACTATTTCATTGCCCCCAGACAAGGAAAGAGATTTACCAAGAAATTTCAACTAAATCTGTTATAAAATACCTGTTTAAAGGCAAGAGCTAGAATTTGCCAACAATGAAATGCATTCTCCTGTCCGGTGTGAACAGGAAACAGTTCATGGGGTCACAATATGTCCTAAAAACAGGAGAGTTCCCCTGTTTTCTTATGAGGGACAAAATGAAAAACAGAGATGCTACTGGTCAGTGGAGATTTCTCTGTCTGGCTCCAACTTGCTTGACTCTCCTGGAGAAGGAGTATGTGGTGCAGAATGAGACACGGAGGGAATGCCATGAGCAGCTACAATCCCCTCTACTGGTGGTTCTGGCAGCCCCGGATTTGCTACTCCCACTACTCCTGGAGGAAATCTGTCACAAAAAGAAAACACACAGTGATTACAGGCCACTTTGGTGAGCATGCCCTTCACAATTTCACTGCCAACACTTCCTAACATGGTAGGCAATTCCTTCTGAAAACATGCAGTGAAGACTGATGCAAAATGACATGAGCATCTCAACCAGCCTTAGCTAGTCACCCTCCTTCAAGTAACCAGGTTTGTTCTTAGTGCTAGAGTTTGCAAGTTACAATCAATACAGGTGCACCTCTACCTAGGAACCCCTCTGAAGCATTGTTCTGAAGCCCTTTGGTTCATTTTCATAGGTGCTCAAGAATGAATATCTATTAGCAAAGTGCTATTTTATTTCTGTGCAGAGTTTGCTGTTAAATGTAAGATACACGAACAAGCTAGATAAAACCTCGCAAAAAGGGCTTCAGAAAACACAGGATATAGACATGAAACTGATTCAAGCAAAAAGCTGTTGATAAAAATGCATCATGTCGCACCTGTAAGCTGCAGCTCCATTAAGCTCTGGATGTACAGCTGCCGGATCAATACTGGACCACTGAGCTGCTAAAAGTAAGTACTCCTTATTAACACAGTTCCTCAAAGAATCAGGTATGTGACCTATAGCGAGGGGGAAATGCAGAAGCAGATTATGTCAGTGTTAAAATGTATTTTCATCCCGAAAACAAGGGAAAGGTCCTCTAACTGCCTCCCTAATTTTAACAGATGAATGTAAGAAAAATCCACACAGCATTATAGACCTCTTCTATATATAGTCTTAATGGTGCAAATATAAGAGATGGTTTCTTCTTTCCTCTCCAAGGAGGAAAACTCATGAGAAAGAATTCCCTAAATCTCAACCTCTAGGCACCTAGTGATGTTCAATACAAATACTGTTAAGAAACAGCTTTTAAAAAGCTAACTATACATACGTTTGAGCACATATACTCAGAATATTAGGATAAAAGGACAAACTATAAATCAAATTGGGGCGGGTCCCAAGACCTTCCCTACCCCAATTCCTCAGGAATCTTGACATGATTTTTAAAGCTTACGATATCACCCATGCAAGCAATCTTTTGTAAAAAAGACTTAAGTTTAAAAGTGCATTTTCAAGCTTAACTGCTGCATGTATGTGTGCCTCTATGACAGAGTGTATGTACATATATGAAAGCATTAATGAGAAAGAGGAAGACAGAATAGATTCATATTATGTGACCCAACCTCTGCTGGCACACAGCCCCTGGACATTTAGCCATAAAGAAGCCCAGGCCTGAAAAGGATAACCCACCCTTTGCCTAAGAAGTAACTGCTGTTCTATCTCCACTAATAAATCAGTCCCAGGGAAGCAATCTCAGAAGCAACTGCAGAGCTGTCTTCTTGATTACCTGTGATGGCTCTTCGGATCTCCTTAGCCGCATCCTCTCTAGACTCAATGGAAGCCTGTTCACTATACCAGGCTGTGTGAGGAGTACAGATCACATTAGGAGCATCTTTTAAGGGCCCATTTGCAAAGCTGTGATGTAGAGAAACAGGTATGTTTTTTATTATAATCCCCAGCAGCCTTAAGACCCAGAGAAGTGTCCTATTTTTAAGAAATTCAGAAGGGCAGTGTTAGCAGGGTGACAGTGCAATTGTTACCTGAAGGGCTCTGACTCATGCACATCCAATGCTGCCCCTCTGATCCTTCCCTCTTTTAGGGCTTGAGCAAGAGCCTTCTCTTCGACCAGTCCCCCACGAGCTGTATTCACCAAAAAGCAGCCCTGACGCATCTGGAGGGAAAAATACAGAGGCTACTGATCTGTTAATAATTTCCTTGAGTCCAACTAACACACTGGGGCAGCTGCCAGAGACACTGAAATAGTTAACATGGGCATGAGATAACAGGAGGAAATAAGAGTGCAGCTTTATTACAATTCTCTCACATAAAGTAATGGAAAGAATACCCAATATACCCACATCTGGGGCTCAAACAAGTCCAGAAGACTGACACAAATCTTAAACAGAAGAAAACACAAAAGGCTGAGGAAAACCTCCCATACAATGTCTTTTTAAAAGGTCCCAGATAGCTTAGTATCAATTATGGCAGCCAAATAAAATTTCCCACTCTCCCAATTTCACCAGTCACATTTCATATGTGAGTAAGGCATAAAAAGGTTTTGCTGCCAACGAAGAATTATGTTTTCTGGAGACATGCAGAAGTGTGATTGTCCCTTAAAAAAAAAAAAGGTGTGATGAACCTGCATGCCTTGTTTACATGTTACATAGCAGATTCTGCCAGTGTGGCAACAGACTCGGTAGTCGGAATATTGGTGTCTGTAAGAGTTTTACAGTAAATTACTCAGAATACTCATCAAAGATTAAGATAGAAAGTACGGCACTCCCGGAGGTACCATATTTTTTTCGTGTATAAAACACTTTTTCCTAAAATAACTGAAGGAAAAACTGAGGGTCGTTTTATAATCGGAAGTAAAGAGGGGAAAGGGGTCAAAGTGCTTTGATCCCTGTTTCCCCCTCCAGGTTTTGGAAAGTGATTCCTGCTTTCCCCTCTACATTTTCATTGCAAAAAAGCAGCTTTCCCCCTCCAGGTTTTGCAAAGAAAATGGAGTGGGAAAGCGATTCCTACTTTCCCCCTACATTTTCTTTTTTTAATTTCCAAAATGAAAACAAACACAAACATGCAAAATACTTGCTAATACAATCTAAACCACAGTGCTCCCCCATACCTACTGGACCCTTTGGACCAATACTTTTAATACGAACCTCCTTTCCAAAATTGAATTTATTTGTTGTTTAGAGGTTTCCCCTTTCCTTTCACTAATACAAATTCAACAAAGCTACCCCAAATAGCATAAAAACATTGGAACTTGTTTTCCCTCTTTTCATCTTAAGTTCAGTAGTCAATTTATCATTTAATGCAATGTCCCATACTTCATTATACCAATCTTCTAATTTAATATCATTTTTATCTTTCCAGAATCTAGCTATTAATAGTCTAGCACTTGTCATAAAATTGGAAATCAATTCCTTTGAGCAATAATCAAGTTCTATTGTATCAAAAATTGACAAAGCAATTTTAAAACTGAATTTGATATCTTTTCCAAATATACCACATATTTCCATAAAAATCAGTTTCCAAAATTTCTGAATCCATTTACTCTCCCACCACATATGATAACACATGCCAATTTCTTCTTCAGATTTCCAACAGGCCTTAGAATAGTCTGAATTTATTATATTCAATTTCACCGGATCATATACCACCTTAAACTAATTATAATTTTTCCCTTTATTCTTACCAACAAAATGTTTGCAACGAAAATGTAGGGGGAAAGCAGAAATCGCTTTCCTCTTGCATTTTCTTTGCAAAACGTGGAGGGGGAAAGATGGTTTTTGCAACGAAAACTTAAGGGGAAAGCAGAAATCGCTTTCCCCCTCCACTTTCTTACAAAGAAATACATTTTGATTTAGAAAAGTGGGGGGAGTTTTATACATGGCAACATCTTATACATGGAGAAACACGGTACCTAAAATTGGGGCAGAAAGTGATTAATACCAGCCCCTGCTCCCTATAAAACTGTGGCACAAAGGAGATGCAATAGTGGATGGAGTGTCCAGTTCTGGGATTCTGAGCCAAAAGTAATAGGAATAACAGTAATATATGTTTCTATCCCACCTGAAAGTTATGCAGTCTCAGGATTCCAAAGGTTTTCTGCTTGGTATCAGTATTAAATTTTGCTTCCAGTCTCAGACTGTACTTAGGGTCATCCATGCAACTGTCCCAATGGATTACCTGAAATGTGAGAAGGGGCCATGGAGACCTCTTCTAAATCCTGTTACCACCATCCCACCCCAACCCACCTATTAAGAATGGGCTCAAGCTACAGGAAGCCAGATTAAGGCTGTATGTAAGTACAAACTTCTTAACTGTTAGGGCAGTACGACTATGGAACCAATTATCTCAGGAAATAGCGAGCAGTCTAAGGTTGGAGGCATTCAAGAGAAAATCAGACAACCATCTGTCAGATCTGGTTTGATTTGGATTCTTGCACTGAGAAAGAGGCTGGGCTCAATGGCCTTACAGGCCTATTCCAACAAAATTTATACATCTATGAACTGTCACATGTGAACTACCTATCCCCTTTCAAAGACCAACAAAATGGAGGAAAACACAGACCACCAATGAGAGAAAGATGGAGAGAGCACTGCCACAGTATATGTAAGATGAGCATGAGGGTTAGGGAAAACAGACTGGACTTAGGCTGCAGAACTAAGCCGCAACTTTTCTTCACTATTTTTGACGGAGAAGAAGTGCAGTGACAGGAAAAGCCATACCTTTGAATCTCCTTTATGCCACACAGTTTCATATTGAACAGAAGATGTCTCTAGCATCCTTCAATGCTAAATCCTAGACAAGAATCAAGGTAAGTGTAATAGCCCAGCACTGTCAGTGACTCCAACAAGGAAAAAGGGCCATGTTGGTCAATAGGAACACAACCAAACCCAAAATCCACAAGCAGGAAAATACTTTTCTTGGGATCTACAATCACAAAATATGCAAGTTTTTGAGCTCTCCAGAAATCTTATATGGAAAAAACAATGAGGGAAAAGTGTCCTTTTTTCTTTTGCCTACCTCTAGATTTTGAATGCTGCAATCTCAGTGACTTCACTTCTGACTTCCTTTTAAACAATAGAAAAACCAATATCTAAAGCTATCTAAACTAAGCAGGACACTAGGCACTTGAAGCTGTAACTATCTAAAGCAACAGATGACAACATTTGGTCCTCCCAAATGTTGTGGACTGCAAACCCCAGAAGCCCCAGTCAGCATGGCCAATGGTTAAAAACAGTGGGAGCTGGAGTGCAAGAAGGCAGAGGACAAAAGCAGAAGAGATATGGCATCTTTCAGTTCAGCCCAAATCAAGTTTTTTTCTCTATAGAAACTGCCCATGATGGATGGACTCAACATCTGAACCACTGGATAGCACCACGTAATAAGAAGTGTGAATGGAAGCCCATATAAGAAAAGCAAAGTCCACAGTTAAATAAGTGAATATCCAATATACTATAAAACAACAGATCCTAATGACAGACTGAATTAAATTACCCAACTGTGGAAACCAGGTGCAAAAATATTAACTGTTTCCCTTTTTGATTTCAAGGCATGCAGTGCTTGTACACAATGTATCAAAGTTGCATGCATGCCAAAATCACAAACTGAAACCTCTAATCCGTGGCAGTCTGCCCTTGCCAATGATGTCATAACCACTGTACAGACAGATTCCATCCCCAACAGAATTTTGGCCAAGGAAATTCTTACATGCAGACAGGACCCACACATTTAATTGTTAGAGACACTCTCCTATATTCCACAGAAAGCTACATGGCAGAAATGCAAGCATGAAATTTACATCATCCCAGCTTTCAAGAAACCTTCACAAAAGCAACATGTATTCCAACCATACTGCAAGGTTGCACCTGTTTAATAGTGAAGTCGTTGATGAGGTGATGATTGTGCTCGTTTAGACTGCAGTGCAACGTGATACAGTCACTGTGCATGAGCAGATCTTGCAGAGTGGCCATCCGCTGCAGTCCCAGGGAACGCTCCACTCCATCAGGTAGATACGGATCATAGAAAACCACATTGAAGCCAAACGGTTTCGCACGCAAGGCAACTGCTTGCCCAACTCGACCTTAGAGAAAAGAAACAGGTTCATCGGAATTAAGTTCTGCTGTGGATATCCTGCTTTGTCAAGGGGCTGGAGTCATTCACATCTTCCAGACAGTCTTTCCCAGGAAACTTGCCCTACCAGCATACCATAAAAATAGTTATTGTTCAGTGGACTGGTACAGGTTCTTTGCAAGCACTGTATGGAAGCCTAACCAAAACAATGTTCCAAAAGCTGTTAGAAATTTCAATGTTATCTAAACATTTTTGGGACAGCAATAAAGGAAAAATTAGTACAAACATCTACTCAGTTGGGTTGCCTTTTATATTATATGAAACACACATGTATGCTATAGCTCTTGCCAAACATCTGAAGGCCCTGAGGTCATTGAAAGCATATATGTCTTGCACAAAAAATGTTTCTGACATTTTCAGCTAAAAGATTTCAGCCTGTAAGAAACTCTGCCAAAGACCTCAAAGAAATACCACCAATCACAGCAGTAAGTAAATGAACAACCTATGGAGTTATTTCTCCCCAGTCTCTCTCCGTAATTAGGACCAAAACTGAGCCAAATAACAAGCAGAACAGAGAAAAACATAAAGCTATCAGAACCGTTGTTCAGCATCTAACACCTAATTTTTGCAATTTTTCAATATAACTGTCAGTCTTCAGAGGCAACATCTGCTTATCCCCTCCAGTTTGATGGTCAATCCCCAGACTCCAAAGACACCCACTGGGTATGCTGGCTGGGGGATTGTGGGAGCTGTAGTCAAAAAGGCAACTTTACCATGCTCTGTCTACCTTACAAATGACAAGCAATGCCTTGCTGATTGCCACACAAAGCAAATGCCATACATGAGAGGATGAGAGAAACTGCTAGGCTCCCAAATTGACCATTCAGATAATTAAGGCCAAGTAGCCAAGTCTTTCTAAATACTAGCCACTTCTTACCAAGACCAATGATGCCCAAGGTCTCGCCACGGATACGCACAGCACCCCCAGCGACTTCTCTTATCTGTTCCATACTTGAGGCTCTGTTTCCTTCCCGCATGGCCTGGTGAAGCCAGGTAACCCGCCGATAAAGATTAAGGATGTGGCAGAGGGTAGAATCAGCTGTCTCTTCCACGGAAGATGAAGGGATGTTGCACACTGCAATGCCTGGAGAGAAAGGTTTTTTTTAAAAAAAGAAGACTAATATTATTGTCAAATAATCCTTCAACATAGAACAAGAATAAAAAGAAAAAAGCCAACATTCCGAGCCAATGAAAACAATTCACTGCCCACGTGATAATAACAATTCACTTTTTTAATGCCAACCCAATCATGCAGAACAAGGGTGGAAATCTTTTTGTGTTGTTGCTGATTAAAGCACTCCCCTTACAAGTAATCTGCAAGGGCCACATACCAGTGATGAGTGGCACTATTTCCTCTCTGTCTTTCAGATGCCCATTCTCTGTCTGTCTCCTGCTCCCCCCATGCCCAGCAGGCTGCCAGGAAGGGAACATTGTTCGTGCTAGATATCTGATCAGTTGCGGAAGGCTTGAGAATCAGCATGGAATGTGCTCACATAACTGGTCTATATAGCTCAATCCTTCTTTATCGCAGCAAGCAGAAGTGGTAGAACCCCTGAACATTTAAATATTGCAGCAGTAGCCATGTTTGCAGTAAATTGCCTAATTTCAACACAAGGGTGAAATGAACAACAAAAAACCAACACTCTATAATCAACTTCGTATGACAACTGTGTATACACTGAACAAGACTATAACATTTAAGGAAATCAGGGAAAACCTTTAGGCCAAGCTTTCACATCAATCTAGAAAAGCAGGTGAACTGCTGGCTGCTTCAAAAAAATCTGTACATGTATAGATTACTCTTATGTTTGCTTCGTTAACTGTTTATTCTGTAGACTGAAAAACTTACTCTTATGTTTGCTTTGTTAACTGTTTATTCTGTAGACTGAAAAACTATTAGTTTAGTCTACTTTTTCAATTAAGTGACACTGAGCCACCACATACTTGTGCGAAAGTAATTTCAAAAAAGATCAAAGAAACAGGATTAAAGATTTGGGCTATCACTTTTTAAACTAAGGCAGCAACCACTATAACAGGTCTGAAGAAACCAATCATGGGGGAGATATGTGCTGTTACATGTGCAAACTGCATGAGTTTCAAATCCCATTGTGCAACCTATTTTTAAAATTCACTTCTCTACTCCTGAAATAGGAATATTTGCCTGAATCCACAGGGCTCATGAGAGCAACACAGCAAAAAGAACAGTGGTGTGGTTGGCATGTTTACCTATCCTCATTATAGTAAGCATTCTTCTGGGGACTTTTAAGCATCTGGTTGACTTCCAATTTAGACCTAGCAAACTTAAAAGAGGGAATGGGTAATTATTTTTTACTCTATGAATTCACACATTATCTAACCTGCTCCCCCCCCCACGAGGATCACCATACCCAATTCTGCAGCTGACTTGATATCCACATTGTCATAGCCACTGCCAATTCGCACAATGACCCGAAGAGCTTTGAACTTCTCTAGATCTTGGCGCGACAAGGTAATGGTATGGTACATAAGAGCCCCAACAGCTTCATTTAGCACCTATGGGAAAACAGAACAACAGAATAATGCTTACTCAACAGCAAAAGAGCTAGTCAGATCAGGATTTTGCTAACCAATTTTATTTTTCCTCCGCAGCAAATACCCCCCTCCACTCTAGTGAATGGTCCAGTCCTGTCCCAGAGTCCCAGTACACACATTTCTTCCCTGAAACTCTATGAAATACAGAACACTCAGGGAAGGGAAGGTTTCCTTTTCCTCTTTGCAAAGTGTCTGAAAAGACAGAAACAATGCTGCATTTCTTTTACAAAAGCATCATCCTCCCGTTCTTCCAGATCCTCCCAAATTAATGACAAATTCAAGAGAGAGGTTTCTTTCCACTGGACTTTTGCAGAAGACAGAAACAATTAACATGACCCATGCCTCATGCAAAATCACAGCATGGTGAAGATAAAAACGGGAGTTCATAGTGGGCTTTGGCAGAATTTGCAGGAGAAAGGAGGTTAGAGGCGAGTACTGTACAATAATTCTCAGCTATGAAAGCGAAAGCAAAATTTGAAGGTTCCAGAATTAGATCTCCAGTTGTTCATTAGAATTGGAGATTCTCCCTTTGTTTTGGTGCACTTACCTTTTCATGAATTTCCTGAGTTGACTGTGCATCACAGAAAGCCACAGTTGCTACGTCCTTCAGGATAGGCATCTCTACAGTACAGTCCCTGCCATCAAGAAGGGCAACCAATGGACGGGCTGGCATTGGGCCATTACCAATGGGAGGCCTTATACCTAAAGAAAAAGCCCACAACTTGAATTAGCTCCCAATATACCAAAGAAATATGTATACTGGCCCTAATGCAGTAACGGTCAGACTGATAGTGAGAACAAACAGCATCTTAATCATAAGGGCCGGGAAGAGCCATAGCTCATTAGTAAACCACATACTTTTCATCTCAAAGTGATCATGTTCAATTCCTCCAATGGTCACTTACACCTATAAAAATACCCACCTTTTGTGTTTATCAGTGATACACCATGTTATCAATACCTTACAGAATTTATATACAATAGATACTTGTGGTGTATTGCTTCTAGAAAAATCTCGTATTTAAAATTTTAGATGCTTGCTTTAACTCAAAATGCTGTTCAAGATTTCATTCTGCTGTTCTAAATATACATTATTCTTTCTTTCAAAAGTAATAAAATTACTGAAAGCCTTCGAGAATACAAAAGTACCGTACTTTGAAAAATTATCTGACTGAGTTTTCATGGGTCTCCCACTATTTTTCTATCAATTTCTCTGAAAGTATAACAATCTGTTGTTACATCTATAGGGATTTTCGAATATTCTGATATTTCCAGTCACACTCCTGCCACCTCAAAGATAAGTAATTCTTTGTACAGGAAGTGGTTATTATAATTAGCGCATATAGAATGAAGAACTCACTTTGTAGTCATCGTACTTTCTCATTTGTTATTTTACAGATTGAGGGAATCTGAGGAAAGCATTTGAGGACTAGCAGAAAGAATTCTGCCTAAAATCTTCAACAGCTGATGCCAATCAGGGTAAATGCAACTAAGCTAGTACTAAAGCAACTTCCTCTGCTGCTTTCAAAATTATAGTTTTTAGACATGCAGAGACTCCCATTAAGAGTTAAACTCTATTCCTGTAGGGAAACATTGTCTGAATCAGTGATGGATCATTAGAGCACAAACAGACTGGTGAACTATCCTTAACAGTTCTGAAGTTTGGCAGTTCATATACTTTTTAAAATCAAAACCATGCATTCATTAATGACAACCCATTTACACAAGCAGGCAGCTTGGGAGTTACATGTAGAAAAATAAAAATGGAAGAGGCACTACTAGATTTACTAGTACGGAAAGAGAAAAAGAGACATACAAGCATAATGGGCATATTATTTATCACTGCAAAGTTATACAGATCAAGATTATCTAAACCACTGGTTCTTAACCTTGGGTTACTCTGGAGTTTTGGACTGCAACTCCCAGAAGCCTTCCCCACCAACTGTGCTGGCTGGGGTTTCTGGGAGTTGCAGTTCAAAAACATCCAAGTAACAAAGGTTAAGAACCACTGATCTAAACCATCTCATTACAAGTGTCCCTCAAAGAAGAATAAACTTCCCTCATATTAAAACAAAAACTAACAAACAAACAAAAACTGGCTGGACAGCTTAGAGCTTTAGGTGTCTGTGGAGCCGGAGGTTGGGATTTCAATTCCCCACTGTGCATTCCAAAAGAGCCAGTCTATGTGGCCACGGGCAAGATGCATAGCCCAGGGGTACCCCGAGAAGGAGGAAATGGTAAATCATTTCCAAGTACTTTCTACCTAGAAAACCCTGAAAAGGGTTGCCATACGTCAGAACTGATTTAATGACACACAATTATTATATAGCCAAAAATCCTAAGCCATTTAAACAGGAGCAAAGATCAACAGATTTTTTGACTGCGCTCTCTGGCTAACCAAACATATGTGTTCCCCGGAGATCTTTCTAAAGCATGAAAGTAGGGTAGCTCATCCTGACAACTCTAAGCTTAGACCTGTAGACAGGGAACAAAACCAGCTCAGAATGCTAAGCGAGAAGGCAGAGGCAGCCCACCCCCCATGCCTGTGCCTCCCATCTGGCTAGCCATGGGAAACAGAGGTGCCTCAGTTGCTCTGCCTCTTTGAACAAGACAAAGCACAGAGGATGTGTATCCCTGCTCCACCTCCACAAGACATGAAGGCACATGAGCTCACAAATGGAAAGATGGTGCCTTGGGCTCATCTCATGCACCAGATCCTGGCCTTCACCATGGCTAAAGAGCGAGCAAGATGATCAGCCTTTCCATGGGAATAAATCCCAGTGAATTTAGCAGGACTTACCATACGACCTGACGAGCAGAAAAAGAAAAAACCAAGTGCAGGGCATGTTGCAATGCAAGGTAAAGACAATTTGTATGGCAGTGCTCAGTCTTCTCCCATCCAAATGAATAGAAAACTGAAAATGCTATAGAAACAAAACACTTCTAAAATCATTATGTACCCACCTGCCTCCCTACTTAGAGGGAGGAGGCGTGTGAGGCTCTTGTCATCACAAAACCAGAATTACTACAAAGATGTGAGAATCTAAACACTCTGCTTTTTGAATCAGTCACAACAAACTGGAAAGAAGTGAGAAGGGAGACACCTGCACCCACAATTTCCTGTGCCTCCCACAGATAGTAAGTAGATCTTGGATTACTTGTATAGTAGCATCAGACAACAGGCCACTATACCCATGGCAGATCCTTCAAGGCTCCCCTCTTATGAGCATCCTACTCTCAATTAGTTAGACAATCATTGCGTGACAAGAAATCAGCATATCAAAGAACAGCTGAGCTAGTAAGACAACCCTTTTCTTTCAATTCTTTCTACTTGAAGGTACCCACATCTTTGCTGATGAACATTTAATTTCTTTTTTTTCTATAATTTTTCAACATCTCTCTCTAAAATATCCTTGCAGATTCCACTTAACCCAGAAAAAAATAAGGACAAGCCTCTGTGGCCTAGTGGATATAGTGATAGAACAGAACTCAGATAGGTAGATGTATCTTGATGGAACATAATACACACTTCAAGATAAGTAGTTTGCCAAATTCACGTTCATTACCATTTCACATCATTGAACCTGGAGCCGCACCAATATCCACAAAGAGTATGCTCAGGTAAGAAATACAGTAATGTAATGAGGATCATTATGATGTAAGGTGAGAAAAAAAGAGGGTCTCAAGGTAGCATTTAGACCCCAGGCTTCTCTCAGCCTCAAAAAGTATCTGTCAGTAATGTTTTTTGTTTTTGGTGAAAACTTAATATTGCCTACTCATTACTAGATTTTTGAAATATCTACCAGAAAGATGAATAGTCTCTGGAAGTGTCCAAAATCATGTTTCTGGAAATGCAAATTGAGAATCCCTGAGAAGGCACAAGTCACAAACTAGGGTTTCTAGTGGCCACTCATACACTTTTTGTTTTTTGTTTTTTTATACCTATATTGACTCTGCCAAGATTCAAATTACCAACTTCTCTTTGCTCCGCCTGGCCACCTCAGCTATTTCCACCCGATTATGGAAACTTTTTGTGGAACTGACGTTCTCTACAAGTCACTCTGTGCATTCCAGAAAGGCTTAAGCTTCTCTCCTACCCTTGAATGTGCTCTCCTCCGAAGATCTACGCACATTTTTCTGCTGTAATTTAGATCCGACTGTTCGGGTCCAGCTCTTAATTCATCAGTCGCTCCCACTCTCAAGATTGTTCTCTCCCGCCATCTGCAAACAGTGGCCTCAAACGGTCCCGGAGCCAGACTACCGAAGTAGGGCATCTCTTAATAAACCCTCTCGGCCATCTGAATAATTATGCCCGACAGGAAACAAGCGGGCAACGGGCGGCGTTTAGAAGCGAGGGCGCGCCTGGCCCTGCCGTCGGCTGGCTTATGCTGTGCATCTTAAGCGTGAGGACCCATTTTGAAACAGTCCTACGGTCCAAGGCTTGCAAACTCCCGCAACCCCCCTCCACACACACACGCGCGCACGCACACGCACAACCCCCGTTGCGAACACTCTCTGCCTTTGCAGGGAGATCCTCCGGCCGCCAGCCCGCCGATTCCCCCCCCACACGCCCACCCTTTCACCTCAGCTCGGGGCGTTTACCTTCGCAAATGCGGTCCAGTCTCTGGCGCTTCACTTTGTGCCTGTCCATGGGACACACCGAGATGGGCCCGGGAAACTCTCTCTCGAACCCCGACGGGGAGGGAGGGAGGGAGGGGCGAACTTAGCCCAGCCCGGTCCGGAGAAGAGAACGGGGGGCGCACGGGCCGGAGCCGCTGCCTGCGGGAAAGGACGCTGCGGGCGGGGAGGCCAGGCCGGCTCGGCGGATGTGCGCGAGAGAACCTGCCTGCCTGCCTTCCTCCTAGCTCTTCCCTGTCGCCGCGCGGCCCTCCCTCCGCCACCGGCCTCCAGAAAGGAAGCGGAAGGGCTGGCCTCCGTCCGCGGGGAGCGAGGCTCCCATCCAGCCCGGAGTGAGAGAGGCCGCGCCACACCAGCGAGTAGAGGGCGGCTAGAGCGGCCAGAACAGCCGGGACCATGCCGCTCTCCTTTTCTCTCCCGCTCTCCTCCACGGCCGTCGCTTTCATTTCCGGTGTACGTCATTTATTCAGCGGAAGCAGGAGTTGCCTAGGCTCCTAAATCGGATCCTTCTGCGCGCGAAGTATGGGTGACAGTACTGGCTAAGGTAGGTGTGTGTGTGAGGCAGTGCGGTGCAGTGGATAGAGTTACGTACTAGGGCTAATGAGACCTAGGTTCTAATCCTCGCTTGGGCATGGAAGCTCGGGAGGGAGACTGGAATTAATACAACTGCACCTTAGTTTCCTTATTGTCCACGAAAGCTCACACTAAAAATAGTCTTTAAGGCGCCTAAAAGCAAAGCGTGCTGCTTATATACCACCCCATAGCACTTCAAACACTCTCTGGGTGGTTTCCAAGTTAATTATGCAGGCTACACATTGCCCCCACCACCACCAAGCTGGGTATTCATTTTACCGACCTCGGAAGAAGGCTGAGTCAACTTTAAGGTGGCTACCTGGGATTGAACCCTGGGTCGTGAGCATTTTTAGCTGCAGTGCAGCAGTTTAACCACTGCACCACGTTTTTGTTTTAACTTTTTATTATTGTTTTGTTTCTAACCTATATTCCTTATATTGAAAGCCATAGTAGGGTCGCCATTAGTCTGATGCCACTTCAGAGCGCATGACAAGAGACGCACATATAGATGGTACCTTTTTATTATACTTTTTTCCCTTAAGTAATCCATTTCCACCAGAACAAAAGCAATGTGGGAATGGCCCCTCACCCCCCCTACCCAGGACTCCTGCTGTTTTTGTTAATCTCTCCAGACAAGCAGAAATCTAATAGAGATCAAGCAGTATGAATGAAATCTAAGAGGAGGAATTTACCTAATTCAGCTTTCAAGGCACCTAGCCGTAGTCTTTTTAGTGCATAGCCTTACCTACATCATGACACTTTTCCAAGCTATACTGTATATGGGTTGAAAACATGAGAGGACTGGTGGGGGCCTTATGTTGGGTTGCTGCCACTTTTGCTGCCTTTTAAAGGAACATATGTTTTTCCTGTTCAAGTTCAGCATTGGCTATATTTTCATATATTCTAATAGCCTCTTATCGATATAATACTTGTGTTTCATTTGCTACCCAAGTGCATATGTTTGTTTTTGGTGGGTCTTCCAGTTACTCACTTTTACTCAAGATATGTTCAAAGGATACTTGCCATAGTCTTTAGAGTGAAATGAATCATGACATTCTAGTAGGCTGAGATCAGTTGAAACACACAACAAAACAGTTTTGAGAAATACACCTGTTTGTTGGCTGATGATCCCTCTCTTCTCCCTTCTTGCTACAATGTAGAATTCTATTTTAATCAGTCACAGGAAAGCAGGCTCTTCCTCCGAGCAGAAGAATTTGGTGAGTGGCATGATCATTTCACAACACAGCAACAGAAAGCCTCCAACCTTGACTGTTTTATTTTAAATTTTTAATACGTACCTATTACCTCATACCAATCTTACCATTTCTACATATTGGGGCAACTGAAGTCTATGTAGAACTCTTGTATTTGTCTTGAGGGGAATGTTTTTGTGATTTGGTGCTGGGAGGCCCATAGGGATTGCTGAGGTAGAATTGCTGCCAAAGTTCATTTTCCACACCTTTTGGCAGGGTTTTGTCACACCATCCCAGAGATATACAACTTTCCTTTAGCATTTTTTTCTTTTTTAATACAAAAGAAACAAGCAGACAAAACCCCATTGGTCCCATTGCCACTCTCCCCTTTCCACCCACCCCACTCCCCCTGCCCTCACCCAGGAGCACAGCCTGTTCCTGCTGCTGACCCCAGAGTCAGTTTTGCAAAAAGACACCCAATCCCTAGTTCTCTTCGATTAAAGTTAGATCAAGGTCACTAAAGTCTGGTTGGAAAAGTGTTCTTTTGCTTGCTAAATTCCAATTTAGTCGACTTGCTGCTGCTGCTTCCTCTTCCTCTTCCTCACTTTCACTAAGCACCTGGATGTAATTGTTGATGGGACTGCAGGAAGCTGAGGGTGCTTGTGGGCTGCAGTCCAAAAGCCATGATGGATAGCCACCTTCCTCAGAGTTCTCTAACTGACAGACACCTCCTGCAAATGGCTTCTGAAAAAAACAACAGCCAGACATTAATATAGCAAGACACCTTTCCTCCTTTACTATTATTTTATTCTAATGAGAGTTTATAACCATTTATGATTGGTTGTACTATTAGCTATGACTTTTTATCATGGCTGACTTTCCTAAAATGAAATGAAATAAGAAAAGCTACCTGCAGATCAACAACAATAAGCTTAGAACTGCAGAACTGGAAGGGACCCTATGGATCATCAAGTCCAGTCCTTGTCAAGGAGACACAGTGGGAAACTGAACACTCTACCTCTGGCTCTACAGCCAGAAGCCTAAGCCACTGAGCTATCCAGAATGTTGGAAAAGAAAATTTAGGACAAAGCCTGAATTTAAAAAAAACACCTTTAATTACAGATCATTGCTGCCAAATGTGCAGCTAGGCATTGCTTTCAGGCTATTGTACAAAAGCCTTCCTGAATCACTCTTGCTTTACATAATTTTCAGTGTCACCTTATTTTTCCCTTCACATGTGGATCCATGTCCTCTCTCAACTAGTCATTCATTCACACTTCTGTAGCAGTAGTAGTCAAGTCCCGCTAATTTCAGCACTGTTACATTTTAATAAGAATAGATTATCTTTGCTGCATACAGAAAAAGAAAATCTGGAACAAAAACAAAATACTTGAAACCAAGAATGGAAGATGCTATCTTTACAATGGGCCCTTTATAAACCACAAAGAATATTAAATGATTTGGTAAAGATGTGAAATGACTACACATTCTCTCTATATATAATGTCCACTTTGTCCCTACCTGATTCATTTTGTAGAAATCAAGCGAGGGCCTATGCCACCTCACATCTTCATCATGGCGCCGCTTAAGACCACATTTCCTGGTGTCCAAATCACAGGGTTGTGAGCGGCTCCGAGGGAGGCTGTGCTGGTGTCGAAGCAGCTCTGGTGTAGAGGTGGTAGAACTTCGCTGGGAGGGCAAGAATCTGACAGGTGACAGGGAGAAACGTCTTTGTAGAGGATAGGGCTGTAAAGTCTCTCCAGTCTCCCATGGAACACTTGCTGGCGATTCTCTGGATAGAGCCAGGCTGAAAAAAGGTGGGCTTCTGCCACAACTAGCACCATCTTGAACAGCCTGATGAGAGGCACTGGGGGCAGGATTGAAGCAAAGTCTGTTGGCTCCCTGGGCCACAATCTGAGGCTGTACTGCTAAAGTGTCCTCTCCAGTATTGTCCCGACGTTTGACGTGTGTCCACACTTTGGAGCCCAAGGGCCTCCAGACTGCCTGCCAACGAGAGAGGTCTTCGGGCACTGAGAGTGAACGGCAGTGTCTTTTGGTGGGGGGCACAGAAGCCTTTTCTGAGACTAGTGAATTGGTGGCCAGTGTTTGGGATGCTAGGCTGTTCTGAGGGCTGGTGTCTGGGTTGCAGAGGGGCTGGGGAAGGCTCAAGCTGGAGTGCTGGTAAAGACCTAGGTTGTCCTGAAGATGGATCTTTGGACAGGGAGTCAGGTCCCTCCATGAAGCTCCCTCTGCAAGAAATGTTAGAAAATTTAAGACAAGGGCTTCAGTTACCACAAAGATCCGTATCCTAGATGCCTAATTCTGTCCTATGATATGTGAGGAACTAGCAGTTCTGGCTACCTTCTTTTTATTAAACAGGACTATACAGGGAGCCCCTTCACCACCACCCCCTCTAAAAGTTTCTGCTACCTGCTACAGGTTATTTTTCAGCTGCAATCTTAATGCATAACTTCATGCACAATGGGAACAACCTTATCAGCAGTAGCAAATAATCACTGATTCAAAGCTTCCTTTCACAATACTGAGGTGCATGCAACTTGTATACAGTGGGACAAACTCACATGCATCCTGAAGTCACAAAAGGAAGGCTTCAATCAGAGGCAGTTTGCTGTTCCTGATAACATTATTCTTCCTCAAGTGCATAATGGCACTCTATACTTTTAAACAGCTACCGTGCCATGCAAGAAAGGAGATGTTTGTGGATCAGAGAAGGAAAATAATGCTACTGGAGTTAAGCAAGTTTTACTTTGTAATTACACCCAGTTACACTTAGAGCAAGATGTCAGGAACAGAGATTAAACCATCCTTGCTTCCCTAAGATTTTCTTCCACTGGCAATAATGAATAAGCACAGATGACACAGACTCAAATGAAACTAAAGAACAAATAGAGGCTGAACACTTCTTGCGCTTTCCAAGTGTTTCCATGTTTACTACCACTAAAGACTTTATGCAACTTCACACATTAAGTATATAGTGTTGTTTTTTTTAAAGAACCAGCATATTTCTTTAACTAGCAAGTTATAAAACCTTCTAATCCCTTGCTTCCTAATATTTTCAGAACAATAATTCAAGAAGCAGCCCTGTGTTTCAAACATGATTTCCTTCCAGTGAAACTGTTATAATACGACTTCATTCTAAGATTCCTTTGCTTGCCATTGCGCAGATTTACAGAAATAGCCGCAGCTATCTATTAGTGATAATCATCAAACGAGTGGACTAAATCAAAATATATGTAGCCCTACGTAAATCAAAAGAAACAACCCTTAACCAGTTTAGGAGTTGTCTGTATCTAAGACATGTATAGCACAGTCCTCCGGAAGTGACAAAAAGTTATTATGGACAATCAGTGAAAAAAATATATAGAACAAGATTCAGTGTCAGACTCGCAAACAGAAATTAAGAGGACCAGGGCAAAGGTTATAAACACACTACGTCGACAAGGGAGAGGAACAGAAACACAAACCCATGATTTCAGACAGGACAGAAGGAAGCAATCCTGTGAAATCCCACACGACAATACACTAATAGGCTATCTGTGCTCCAAACAATAGTCATATAATAAGACTATGCTTTTATGTAATAATAGCCAGGAGCCTTGCAGAATGTTAAGACTAACAAATTTATTCTCACATACTTTTTAAGGTCAATATACTAGCCTGAACACAGTAATCTTGTCTATTTCCAGCAGCTAAGATCTGCATAGGAGACCACAGGGGAATAACAAATCTCCAGGTAGAGCTAAAAAAACCAATTCTGGCTGAAGCCATGGAGAGCCATGGCCACTAAAACTATTAGGCTACATAGAACAATTATTTGATTCAGTTTTAAGTGTCCAATAGGCCAAAGCCCACTGAATTAATAGGTAGACAGCATAAAACCTATTGAAGTCCTATTGGTAAAAATCTGGCACAGATTGGTAATTAGCATAGCATAGTCATCCTTCAGTCTCGAGAGACTATGGTATTGTGCTCTGCATGGAGGACTTGGAACAGCGTCTAGTGTGGCTGAGAAAGCCAATTCAAGAGTGACAATCCCTTCCACACTGAAGACAAATACAATCTGTTCCCTGTCCAGTTCCCTGGTTTTGCTGCTTCTGCTGATGTGTCTGTCATGTGACAAGTTCTGCAACTAGTACATGACTGGTAATGCTATGAAAACCCTGTAAAAAGGAGATAATGGCTGCATACCTACCATTCTATGCCCATTTTTCCATGAGGATTCTGCTTTAATTTTTAATTGGTAAAAACAGACCCCTCTGTTCACATGTGCTTATAAAGCCACACACACAAACATTCACTGATCAGTTATTTATCCATCTGACAAAGTAACTGCCTTACAGCACAATACATTTATTAGAATGCTGAGGCATCTGAACATATGACCTCTTTGGATTCTCTCCTGGAGCAATACTGTGGACAGGAAAAAGCTCCCTGAGGTTACCCATTAAAACCACCAAAAAGACAAGTTAGTAATGCCCACAAAGAAATGGGGATACATTAAAAAGTCTGAAGTCAACAGTTTGGTGTGTTTTTTATAAGCCGTTCTGTGAGCTTCCTTATAAGTGAGACAGAAATGTCTATAAATAAACCAACACTGAGCCTTTTTGGTATTTAATTCTGCTTAAATGTAAACACTCATCTTCCACCCTACCCCGGGCATATATTACATAGAAAATTGATTAAAATGGAACATATTGTAAGGAGCACAAACAAGGAATCAACAGATGGCTCTCATACAAGTGACCAGTATAGTGTAGGAATGACTTACTTGGGAAGATTTTGTTTTGTTTTGTTCAAGTATGTGTCTAAAGAAAAGTGTGTGCTGAAAACGAAGGTGTAACTGTAAACTATTCTATTCAGTACTTCATATCAGGAACACTCTGAATTGCCGAATTTCTTTACATAAGATTTGCTAACAATTCCAGGAACACAGACAGCTTAATGTTGTGTAGTTGAAATTAATTGCGTTTCAATGTTGTATTTGAGCCAAGAGCAACAAAAGCCAATAGGACTGTTAATAAAATACTAATTTTAAAATTAAAAATATATGCCTTATGTTTGTTAGTATTGTTATATGCCATCAAATTGCTTCCAACTTATGGTGACTACGTAATACGATTTTTGAGGTATGTGGAATGTTCAAGGTGGGATTTATCATTGTCACACCTCAGTGAGTTTTCATAGCTGAGCAGGGGTTTGAAGCCAGGTCTCCTGAGTCCTGTTCTGATACTCTATCTACAGTGGGGTCTCTACTTAAGAACGTCCCTACTTAAGAACAATTCCACTTAAGAACAGCTCCATTTGCTAAATTTTGCTTCTACTTGAGAACAAAAATCCAAGATAAGAACAGGAAAAAAAACTTTCCTGCTCTTTTTTTAACCTTAGGTCATCTTAGGTTAAAAAAAAGTTCTCCCCCTAGTGGTAGAGTACGTATTAACCAGCTTTGCATTAGTTCCTATGGGAACTAATGCTTCAATGTACGAACGCACCTCTACATAACAAAAAAACAGCCAGAACAGATTAATTGGTTTTCAGTCCATTGCTTCAAAATTAGCTTCTTCAGAAGTGCTTTTAACACTGTTCCCTGACCTAAGGGGAAAAAGAAAAGAAAAAATATCCCCCTCTAGTGGTAGAAGGTGGAATAGCAGCTTCCCATTAGTTTCTATGGACGGAAAAGAGCAGATACAGATTAAATGGTTTTCAATGCATTCCTATGGGAAATGCAGATTCTACATAAGAACTTTTCCACTTGAGAACCACCTTCCAATACGGATTAAGTTCTTAAGTAGAGACCCCACTGTACTACATTACACAGTAATGTACTACATTACACTGTCTGTCCTTAAGTGTTTGCATCAGAGTATCAGTGGAGGTAGTCAGTCATATGTAACAGTTTAAATATGATCAGTATCTATATGGATCCTGCATATAAATAAAACAATGATGTTTGCCAATTTAAAAATGGATACACAAAAACAGAGTATTAGAAAAATTCATTTTAAAAGCTATTAATGCAACATTTTCCCCATACTTTCCAGAAAATCTCATTCCTTTGTTCCTCAAAAGAACAATATTTATTTCACCAAAGATAGCCACTCATTTATTTGGACACCCTTCCTAGCTTTAATTCTGATAAATGATTGTTACTAAAGCATACCCAATGCTGGTCCTATATTTTCATCAAGCTTTCATTTAAGAATGGAAATGGTGTCATAAAATACATTATCTCTGGAAAGCAGACTAATCTTACTAGCAGTTAACTGCACATAGAGAACACTGTGAGTTTAAAAGGATAGACAAGACAGAAACAGATGTAGGCACAAAAGGTGGAAGTCCAGCCAGATGCTCTTACCAGGTGCTATCTGGAAGGGGCTGCCACAGCTGGCCACATCAGCATGATCAGGCAAAGGCTAGGGAGGGAAACACAAGGAGTCATCACAGCAAGGATCAGCATCTTATAAGCACCTCTGGCTCTGTAATTCCCAACACATGGCTTATCACTGTATCCCAGTATAAGCTATGGGATTCTGTCAACATTGAGATATCATGCATTATCTGAATTTCCCAGTTCCCATGACACTCCCTGGGGTCACCTGCTGATCACCATAGTCACAAAATGTGATTGGACTTCTAATTTGGCTTTTAGGTCTTGACTTTTTGTGCAACTGTGCTAGCAACTGTTTTCAAAAGCCAAACTCATTTGGTGAATGAGTTGGCAAATGAAATTTAAAACAGTGACATACTTACACACACAATGATTCCCAACTCCACCCATCTCAGGGCTAACTTTGTCTGTACGAAAAGTTTCTAAAACTTGTTTTAATCTGAACATTAAAAACCAAAGTAAGGAAAAGGAGAATAATTACATAAAAACTCTAACTTGCTCCAGTTTGGCTGATAGTTCCTTCCATTGTGCTATCATAAAGAACATAAGAAGAGACCTGCTGGATCAGGCTAAGGGCCCATCTAGTCCAGCTTCTTGTATCTCACAGTGGCCGCACCAGATGCCCCCAGGAGTACATGAGACAACTAGATAGCTGTCTCCGGATACCCCTCCCCTACACATCCTTATCTTTAAATTTTCCTTTTAGTGTCCTATTTATATTAGATTCATTGGCAAAAATCTTCTTGCACAGCTTTGTGTGTGCAAAGAGAATGATGTCAGCTATAGTGGCAAATCACTGCTGACTTAAATCTTTCTAGAGCAGTTTCAGGGTGCACATGACTTTGCTGCATGCACCCCAAATCAACAAAGAAAATCTTTAATTAGTAGCTATTTGTTGATGATTATATAATTCCCTTTGCACACACAAAGCTCTGCAACAGGATTTCAGGCAATAAGAAAGGTTTCAGGATGCTCCCTTCAACTTCTGACAGAGTGAAAAGTCAGACCAATAAATTTAAATGCTTGAGAATAGCCATGTAAAATATTTAAATTTTTACTTATATCCAACCACACTATTCTTTAGTGAAGCATATTGTTTGACCAAAAATAATTTTTATAAAAAGTTAGTTCTCTTAATGTGCTGGAGAGCTAGCCATTAGATGGAATAAATGATAATTTCCTCTTACTAAATAAAGCAATGAGCTAGTATCTAATCTCCCCTCCCACACACACACATCTCTTGTTTGGCAGTAACAGACAATATGCTCTTAACTAAAATCTCAAGGGCAAGAAACAGTTAGAGGATTTGCGATTTTCACAACCACAACCCCTGTAACAATGTTTTGCTTCCAGTTGTGCTGATAGAGTAACATGTCTTTTTTGTTTTTATCCAGGAGGTTAAAGCTAATAAAAGTTTTCCACTCCAAAAAATTAGCTCTCTGTTACAGGGCTTCATTTGCTCAGATAACATTATGCTCTTGATTGTACCTTCCCTGCAAAAGCTTCATTAGGCCACATCCCATTCTTGGAAGTCTACACCTCAGTGTTCAAACTTCTGTATGGAAAAGATGAGTTCTGTTCCTGGCTGCACCTGCAGTGACTTTGTGCTGATTTAACTTATTAATTTCCAGGCACGTTCACCATGGACTCCAGACCTAAAAAGAATCAGGAAGTACATGCTTCATATTTCACTGAAACACTCCTTTGTAAAGTTTCAAATTCAAACACTGGAGCACATTTATCATTGGGTTTCCGAGTTGGGCATCCCCTCCTTAGGTTACAGAAATAATTGGTAGAGAAGATTTCTTTGCAAAGCTAATTTTGTTCCTATTAAAATATATGCAGAAAGTACAGATCCAGAAATGCTTTAGATTTCATACACAAACAGGGTAATTGGGAAACAAGGTACATGCGCACAAGCTAGAGGTTGGTGGAGAACCTGGAAAATTGCAGGCCAATTTCCTTTCTGAAAGGGGCTCCAAAATCTTCAAACAAGGAACAATGTAATACAATGAAGAATAAAAATAAGGTTGAATATATTTTTTTTAAAGTAAGCACCTTGGATCAGCATCTTGATTCTTCTGCTTCATCACCCTCACTTTCATTCTCCTTCAGTCCCCTTCTCTAGACAGAAGGCTGCTAATCAGAACCCAGTCATTCAATGACAAAAGGTTCTTTGACCTTTCTGTGTTCACAGCAACAGCTGGTGTAACATTAACCTGGGACATATCTGTGTAGTCAAACCATAGCAATCATTTTAGACCACATTTATCCCTTGCTTGTCTGTATTGCTGACAGGACCAGCATGGTAAAAGAGAGAAAGCTACAAAATTTCTGGCTTTTATGGCTATAGTGTAGGCAATCTTTGACAAATATATTTTTAAAAGTGATGGCGTTGGTAAGGGTTCCCGCACATCTTGCAGTATTTAAGAAAAAGCTGTCTCTAATCAAATAATCCAGTTCCTACCTACAGCTTTAAATCTTTGTTCCTCCATCTCTAAATTATTGTCCCTCATTCTGCACTCCCAAATTACTTTTGTGTAAAAGTCTCCCAAATATGTCACATGTTTAAAACAAAACTGCAAATTACGAAACTCAGCCACACAATGTATCATCCACTTGCAGCAAGCCAAAACATCCCATATAAGTACCCAAGGTGCAAACTTCCACACTCTCTTCCTTCTGTGATGTGCCATTTTAGACTAGAAGCAGAGACATTTCTGATCTTTATGTGTTCTTTTGAAGCCTTTTTGGCCAAGGATACAACTAGGTGCATGACTTTACGTCACTGTGAGGAATCTAGCACTAAGCCATGCAATGGATGGCATGTATCTTACTCTTCTAGTATCAGACACACACTAATCTTTCAGCACTAGAAGTCCAAGAGTGCTCCATATACATTTCTCTATATAATAAACATTGTGCATATCATGCATTGAAGAGCTACTGATATCAACTCTAGAGGTACAGTGTATATGTGTACCTAAAACAGCACAAATCTTGGCTAAACAGATTGCAAAACTATAGAGATTACACATGAGGCCCATCCCTTATCCTTCCTTATAAACCAGAAGGGAAGAGAAGCAGTAGGAACACTATCAGAAAGGATATGGAAAGGAAAAGCAGCAGAAAATAGGAACAGAGCAGGAGGTGAGCAACTCACTTCATGTAAATATGTCCATGACTGAAGTAAACGTATACAGCTTTTTCTAATTTATCTAATTTATTCCAGTCACAAAGTCTGGATTTTGTAGTAGAACAGGATAGGCCAAGCTAGGGCCTCAGGCTAAACACCTGCTAGTAACATGGGCTGCTTATGTGATCCAAGTTAACTTCGATTCAGTTTTATTTATCATCTGAAGCCCATCTTCTGCAAACACCATCCTCTTAAGTACTCTGTGTTGTCACCTGTCAACACTCCTTTTATCCTTGCTATCTTTTACTAAATTCCAGCTGCTTCTTCCACTACAGCAATGTAAGAATTGCCATGTTTAATCAGAGCAAAGATGCACATCGTTTAAAATTTCTATTTCTTTAGTGATCAACCAGTTAACCTTACAAATAGGACATAATCATGATTTCATCACCAGTAGGCCTTTTTCACCTGCAAGTCAGTTGTATCCCAACCCCTCCAAACATACAGATTTCACTTTTGCCTATCATGACCAATAATCAGCTTTAAGGATCTGTTTACCCTAGTCGCATTGCCATATGGTAATGAAGATTACTTTCATGTATTGTATAGAATGCTGTCTTAACAGTATGCAAGTGATAATGTCAGGAGCATGTGAACCTATGTTCTACTAGCACAGCACTAGTGTGTAACTGTACAGATGTCACGTGTAAAGGGAAAGGAAAGCTATGTTTTCTGTACCACATTCCCAACTTTAATGTGTAAAGGGAAAGGAAAGCTATGATGTTTTCTGTACCACATTCCCAACTTTAAAACCGCAGCCCATTTTTGTAATAAAAATCTATCAATAGTATGAAGAAACTGACTTGGAGATCAGAAGCAGCTCTTGATCTATTCATTTTTATGCCTGAGGGAGGGCAATATTTTTGAATGGCTAGATGTGGGAGGGATAGTAAGCTTAATTCTGAATCACAGATAGTCTTGTCTCCTCATAACCTCACTGAATTTTAAAGACTTCTCTTGCTACACAGGTACTCTCATCTCTTCATAGGCTAAAAAGCTTTTTTAAAATCTCTAAATCTTCTCTGGCCATGGGGAGGGGGCATATGAGTAATTCCATGGGCACTGATCAATCCTTGCCTGTGATGATCACACCAAAATGTGTTCAGTGTTTCTTAGCTTTTCCAGGATATAGACTAAAGCGCAGAAAAATCTGAAGTGAATAGTAATTGAATGCAACAAAAGAAAACAAAGCAGCAACAACAAAACACACATGTATTTCAGGGAATGTTGCACCTACAGTACATCTTTAAGGGGAGGATTTCTATGACATTTCTCATTTTCTGTGCAATCTACATTTGAACCCATAAGAAGTTCAAACATGTTTATGAGTAATCTGGCCTTCCTCACCCACCCATAAGCTCAAACACAGGTTGCAGAAAAAAATATGACATGTCATAGAAATCCTATTCCTACATCACATAACCTATTACTGGTCATTAATAAACATACATTGTAGGTTGTAATACAAGAATTATTGGATCATGCAATGGGCTTAGGCTAGCCCATGAGATTTTCCAAAAAGACCTCTTGTTTAAAAAGTCCTCTTATTATATGATAAAACTGCTTCTGAAGCCCTATTCAGCATCTAAAGCAGTTTACCAAGCACCACAGCCAGAAAGCTGTTCAACAAAAACAATGGAGTCTCTAAGTTCACAGCACTACTTTCACAGTTCTTTGTATCCTGGCCATAGTTAGCTGCACTATCTCAGTCTTTTCCTGTTCATCAACAAAATGCCTAAAGAAAAATGCAAAAGGTATCTCTAACACTGACTTCAGTTTTAGTACCATGGCAAGGCAGAACAAATCTTACCAAACTGATGCTGAAGGATGTGCATTTCAGTTCATCTAGGCTCTGTTTCTCCAAGTGCTCCGTTATCAGGGTGATCATGGTTTCTTGCAGGGACTTAGCCCCAAAACCCCTGTGAGATTTCTGCTACCCTTCTGCCTCCCTCAGTAAATCCAGCTGTGTTCAAGCATCATCATCAGCTACCACATCTGCTAAGCTGTTGTCTTCATCACAAACTAGCCATATTCCATGACATTGTTAGGGACCCTGCAAGAAACAGGCATGTTAATATACAGTATTTCACACATTGTAATTGTTCTCTCCGCTCCTTCTATTTTTTAAAAAAATAGACACACAGTTTCCTTACATTACCCACATCTGCAAAATGGAGGAAGCAGGTGAAGTCAGAAACAAATATAGACTTGAAGAAACGATGCTCTTTCTCTCTCAGCTAAGTTCCCATGGTACAGTGTGTGTGACAGATGTGACTTATGGCTATCAGTACAACTGCTAGTGTAGATAAAGGTCCCAGCCTCCATATCCAATGCCACATTCTTTCCTCCGCTATTGCACAACCTGACCTGAGTTACTATCTATCCAGATAGATTTCAAAAAACTACTTATTACACCTGTGTGTGTGCACGCGTGCATGTGCGCGTGTGCATGTGCTCCATCAAGTCAGAACCAACTTATAGCAACACTAATAGGGCTTTCAAGGTAAGTGAGATATTTAAGGAGTGGTTTCACCAATTCCACTTTGCCAGTCAATTTCCACGGCTGAGCGAGGATTTGAATTCTCTTTTCCAGAGTCCTAGTCCATCACACTAATAACTACACTACACTGGGAACCTCTTTGCCCTGCCTTTATTCCCAGGAACAATCAGGCAGCAAACATGATCCCTCTGCCATATTTTTCTCATAACTATGCATGTTATGAGGGAGACTGGCATGGAGAGTATCACTTGGCTGCAATTTCCATCAGCCACAGCTAGCACAGACAAGACTTAAGAGATGATGAAAACTCAAGTCCATCATCTGTTAAACTGTGTGTGCCCTATTCCTCAGTTAAACACTGATCAACCCATACCCAGTCAGTGAGATTTCTTGGCAGCATGTGGATGTGAACCCAGGTCTCCCCAAATGAACCTCTGCAGTCCATCCATTGTATTATAATGTTTTCCTAGCATTTATTTTCCACTTCATTTCAATATTACCAGACTTCAACCATGCTACTGTGTTTCCCCGAAAATAGGACGGGGTCTTTTATTAATTTTTGCTCCAAAAATGCAGTAGGGCTTATTTTCAGGGGATGTTTTAATTTTTTCATGGACAACAATCTACTTTTATTCAAATACAGTTATGTCATCTGGTTGCTGCACAATGGTTGAGAGCGGGGTTTCACTTAACTAGGGCTCGTTTTGGGGGTAGGGCTTATATTACGAGCATCCTGAAAAATCATATTAGGTCTTATTTTCGGGAAAACAGGGTAGGTCTCATTTTGGCCTCCACTTTCAGATTTGCTTTTGATTCCTTAAGTAACTTGGGATAAGTTTGCCCTTGCAAATTCTGTATACAAACATAAAGGATGCACTCTGTGTTTTTAAACTATGGCAAAGGGTACAAATTTTCACAATAAGAAAGTCTAGCAAAATTGAAACCAGATCTACAATCTATTTGATTTAATTTATCATTATCAGCACTGCTCAGCACTCAATATATTAGAGATGTCACAAGATCTACACTCTGTTATTTGCCAGACACCTTTATCCTGCTTACCAGTCCTCTCTTGATACTGGTAAACAATCCTTTTGCTGAATTTTCCATGTCAGCATTCTGAGGAGATGCATTCCAAAGGAACAGTTAATTAGAACTTATTTACTGCACATCTTATATTTTAGAAGTGAGCGAGAATCTTTTCCTATACTATCGCTTTATTAAGGTTTTCCACACAGCATCATTTATGTGCATTTTTAAAACCAAGGTGAGTAACATTTAAGATGTATCAGAGCTAAAAAGGCAAAGTAAAGACAACCTATTTATGGTGTTCATTCTAGGAACAGTAAAATGGTATGCACACTCGCAGTTTCAAAACAGTAATTGCAATCCTATGTATGCCTTCTCAGCAATAAAGGCTACCAAGTTCCATCAGACTTCTTTCCTGTGGGTATAGAGCTCTAGCATTAACTGTACCTTTTGCAAGAGCAATAGAACTGGCCCTATCCTCATTAAGGAAAACAAAAATAAAGGGATACCTGTGAACTAACTTAATTCAAGATGGTAGATAAGGAGAGTCAACTGATAAAGCCCATGTTTCATTTTATTTCAGGTGAGACAAACTGGCAGCCCATACAACTCTTGAACCATGTCTACATACCATATTTGCTAAACGTTACATACATTCTTCATTACCAAAAGCCTACATTTTTAAAAATAAAAAACACATATACCCTCTAAGTCCTCTTTTTTGCACCTTTAATTTACCCATACTGTATCTTTTCTGAAACTGTATGCCAAGTATTGAAATACTACCAGCTATCACCAAGTGGCAATACAAGAGTTAGGTTCTGTTGATAAACTAGTGATTGGTTTAAAGAACAAAATATTGAAACATTTCATTAATAGACAGCATGGCAACATTCCAAAGACAGGAAATTATACAAACAACAAAGGTGAAAAGTAATTTTTAGGAATCTAGTAAGAGGCTTAAGCAGATTTGCTTGTATTCAGCCCCATCTTCCTTATTATATACTTTTTGAAGGCTGACTTTTTATACAGTAGTTGGATACAGTGGGATCTTGACTTGAGAACTTAATCCGTATTGGAAGGCGGTTCTCAAGTCAAAAAGTCTGCAAGTCAAGTCTCCATTGACCTACAGTGCATTGAAAACCGATTAATCCCATAACAGGCCATTTTTGTTCCATTTTGGTTTTTTTCTGGTCTGTAAGTCAAATCTCAGTCTGCAAGTCAAACCTAAATTTTGCGGCCAGAGAAGTCTGCAACTCAAAAAGTCTGTAAGTCAAGCCATCTGTAAGTCAAGGGTCCACTGTATTCATACATACCATACAGTATACATCAATAGAACTATATAAGCAAGACAATAATAGAGGTTAACCCACTATTTTCCTTTTAATAAACTGTTTACTGCATAGATGTATATAGATTTCTGTGTGCTGAGGTGCCTTGGATATTTTTCTGGAGTTAAGTCCTCCCTCCCTTGTCCCTGGTGTAGAAATCTTCTACCACCAGCAATTTACCAAACCCCTTAATCCTGGCAAATTTAACATCTGACACCCACAAGTACTAGATTTGCATCTGAAAGACTGACATTCAGACCCCTGCTCAGTCATGGAGCCTACTGGGTGGCCTTGGATAAGTCAGCACCTCTGCAGGAGGACCTCTGTAGTGTGACTATTGTGAGAATAAAATGAGATAAAAGATGTACAATACCCATTTTGGGCCTCGGTGATAGGATGAAAAACAAAATCTGTAATTAATATGTCTTATGTGATATGCCATGCCTCTTGCAGGTTACTCTTCACTATAAAGGCTTTTGGTAAAGTTATTCATGTTTTCCAGTTCCTGCTCTTTGGCAATTATCAATGGATTTTACATCTTACCCCATTCCTTCTTATTGTAATACGTAGCTTCAGATCACAGAAAGCCACGGTACCTCAAGCCACTTATACCTGAAGTCTTTAAAACTGATTCAGAGAACTGCAATAGCTTGACAAAAGTGGACTGGCTTTTGTTTCTTTTGTTTTAGCTGTAGCCACTTTGCTAGCTGACATGATTTCGCGAGGACCCCAATTCCTTTCCAGCTACCCATTCATTGAACACAAAACACATGCAGGCCTGAAGCAATTTCCAGCCTCCCTGACGGAGTAGACACACAGGGTGAGACTCCCTGAGGAGACGGTGCCATGCAGGGTGTGATTATTATCACACTGTTTTAAAGAACGGGTCCCATCCACCTAGTTTTAGAAATAACATCCACAGGGGACGCAATCGCTAACAAAGCAGAACCATCCCACCCTCCTCCGAGGGGAGCCACTTTCTTTCGGGGGCCCCCCCGCCGCCGCCGCCCGTTTCCTCCGCCCCGTTTCTCCAACAAGGCCCTCCATTCTACCTCAAATTCCCATACAGATTCACTTTTCCCACAAGCAACCTCCAACCCCATATCTTCCCCCTCCGCAACACTACCCCCCCAAGAAGAAACACCCCCCACCCCGAATGAAAGGCCATAAAAACCGTACCGAACCGCCTCAGCCTCGCGCTTCTCTTTTATGACAACAGCAGATGTTTATAAACCAGGCCCCTCACAAAGGCACCCCCTCCCCCCCTCACACCTGGAATCGCCAACATTCCTCATCCATCGCTGTCGTCGTCCTAATATTTCCCTCTTGAGCAATTGCCAGCTCCTTTCATGAATAGAATTTTTTTTAGCAAGGCATAATAAAATTCAAGTTTCGGTTCTGGGATGTGTGATATAAGCAGTGCGTATGTGAATATGCAGAGTACATATCCCTTTTTAAAAATTGAGAATTGCAGCTAGACCTGGAATTAGGAGAGAGGTATGTCTTTGAAGCAGATTCAAGCCTTAGCATTACTTTTGTTCTTTGGGGCGTAATGGGTTATTTTCAGGTCTTCACGTGCAGCCTGGGAAGTGCTTTTAGATACTGGTAATACATCCCAGTGTATTTCATAATACAGATCTAAAACTAGTGTTGACAGAGGCAAGAAAGCGAGGGAGATCATATCCCCCTCAGGAACCACTTACAGGATAATTTCAGGAAAGGGCTTGCGCACCTGCTACAACCCCCTTCCCGCCCGCCCCCCAAAAAACAGAGGGCAACGCAGATCTTAGCTTTCTGCTGCTTCCTCTCTTGCCCCAGGTTTTGTCTTTTCTTTTTTCTCCCCGCCCATGGACCGTACCATCTGGCAAAGCACTACGGGGAATGTAGTCCGATGTGACCCTCTGGGAGAATGGTATGTTATACCCCCGCCTCTGGCCCATTCCTTCCACTCCATTGCTGAGAGGCAATTTCCACCTCTGCGGAGCGCTTAATTTGAGCCAAACTCACTTAGAGCAAGACTCATCTATCTTTCAGCAAAAATGCTCAGTGGTGCTATATGTGAAATATTGTTTTGCCAAAACAAAAACAAAAAACCAATGGCATATTCCTTGTCTGTAAACATGTTAAGAGTGTTTTTTCTTCTCTGTCTGACCATCTCTTGTCAAGCCTTCATCCATCTAAAATTTAAACTCTGGCTAAGAGTTGGACACAACTCAACGAGTCTCTTTATAAAGCAAGCAATATTTGTGGACCTGCCAAGAGATGCATTAATGGGCACATGTTTGACAGCAATGCTACTCTACAGCTTAATGAACTGTACCTGCTTAAAAATGTAAATGAAGTTACCGAGCTGAAGAAGAGTCAGAGCACAGCGTGACTGTATTATTCAGGCTAGGTTTCAGTAACCCAGCCATATTGAGAGACCACAGCCATACAATCATGGCAAATCTCCCTCCCAAGAAACCTTCCCATGATCCCGGGAAGTACCTAAGGAGGATGTTGTTGTTGCTTAGTCGTGTCCAACTCTTTGTGACCCCATGGACCAGAGCACACCAAGCCCTCCTGTCTTTCACTGCCTCTCGGTGTTGGGTCAAATTCATGTTGGTAGCTTCGATGACACTGTCCAACCATCTCATCCTCTGCTATCCCCTTCTCTTGCCTTCACATATTCCTAACATCAGCATCTTTTCCAGGGAGTCTTCTCTTCTCATGAGATGGCCAAAGTATTGGAGCCTCAGCTTCAGGATCTGTCCTTCCAGTGAGCACTCAGGGTTTATTTCCTTCAAAATGGATAGGTTTGTTCTCCTTGCAGTCCAAGACTCTCCTCCAGCACCACAATTCAAAGGCATCAATTCTTCGGGGGTCAGCCTTCTTTATGGTCCAGCTCTCACTTCCATACATCACTACTGGAGAAACCATAGCTTTGACTATTCAGACTTTTGTTGGCAAGGTGATGTCTCTGCTTTTTAAGATGCTGTCTAGGTTTGTCATCGCTTTCCTCCCAAGAAGCAGGTGTCTTAATTTTGTGGCTGCTGTCACCATCCGCAGTGATCATGCAGCCCAAGGAAGTAAACTCTGTCACTGTGAGGTGAGGAGGATACTCATACATAAAAGCCCCTTTACTGGTTTCACATTTGACAGGGACAAAAGTGCTCGCCTTTCACAAACGTCATTCCCTTCAACTTCAATGGAAATTGAAGCATATGCATTCTGTATTTCCTACCCGAGTTTGGGATGGAATCTCAGCCAAGCAACTGAAGGATCTCCAGTTTCAGGAAAGGCTTTCTTGTAATACAGTATTAGTGTTAAGCAGATCAGAACTAGCTGAGAGTAAAGGGGGGGGGCTAATGATAAGGTGAATAAGGGTGCTCAGTTTCCAAAGCAATTTAGATGCAAATAGACATTGTTATAGCTTTAATTCTCAACTGGTACTCTTGCACAAAACATACAATGGATGAAACGGCAGGCAAGAGCAACACTTTTGTAATATTTTTTGACTTTATGTCCTCTGCATGCACTTCATCAATAGAAATGTGACAAGTTTCTTTGAATTAAATGGATGACATAAAAGCAATTGTAAACACTTAGTGTGAATGAAGACTGCATCAAGCAAACCTTGGCAGAAGTGTAGAAATGGGCCTCATCCACTCAAAATGTTGTGAGTATCATAGCAAGCCCAGCAACATCAATGAGTTACAGAGATCACAGACTTAAGAATATCTCAGATTTCCCCTTTCAAGGCACTGCCTCTTTGGGGTTCTAAGAGATGAAACTGGCAATCAGGAATGAAACGGACAGTCTTCTGTGTCTTTCAGGAAACTCTCCCAAGTGGAAGGAGCATTCTGAGGCAGCCACATAGAAAAGGATCCAGAAGGTGACAGTCCAGCAAACTAAAAACATAAGAAATGGTGAGAAACAAATAGTCTAAAGGGACCATGGTTAGTAAGTACCCTTGGGGGAGGGGAGGGTTCCCTTTTCCCTTTCTTCCACACTGTAATAGTAAAGGTACCCTTAGGAACTCATGTCTGGTAGAGATCTGGGACTCCACAGCTTCACATATCATCAAGAGGATTCTGTTAAGTTTGCTCGTCAAAGCCAAGATGTCCTGGTGATGTAACTATTTCAGATTGAAGCTTTGAGATGCATAGCTGATGTTAATTCTGATACCTGTCCTCCCAATGCTTCTCTATACTTCTTTTCCAGATTCCCTTGAACACCAAGCCATTCATCCGAGAGATCAGATGCAGGATTCATATTGGTCACCAACTCCTGCCTTGCAAAGAAAGAGCAGCTTCATTCACATTGAACCAGGCAGCTACATTGAACAAATGGCTACACTGAGCAACCTGGAAAGAATTGGTCTAATCCCTCTGCCAATATTCAGTTCCAGAAAAAGAGGGCAGCCTGTGTGTTTATCAGCCTGGTCTTACCCATGGTTTCCCTATGGCTATTGGAAAGAAAACCCATGAGGGAATTTGGCCCCTGTCAGGAGAGGAAAAAAAGATTTCCCCAACCTACCCTAGAATTAAGCCTAGAAAACTTACTTCCTTAGACCATATCTTTTACTGGGAAAGGGATGCAAGGTTTTTTAAAAATCACTAATAATAGTTGGACACCAATGGTTAGCTATTTCTCCATCACCTGCACTCTGAGAAGGCTGACTAGGTGTCAAAACACAGTCAACAATTCTAAGTAATTGAAACTATGAAGACAGTCACATTTTCCTCACTTTTATGGTACACTTGTATTTCTTTCTCTTGTCTATGCACATGTGAACACTGCACCTTGGGTATTCTCAAAACAGAGTGTAAAATACTTTCAAGCTCTGGCAGACACAAAGACCATTTGCTCTCATTGAGGAGCATCACAGCTCTGTTGAGAATGAAAACTGTCTCCGTGGTGATAAGGAATACCAGGGAGAGTATGTGTACACACACGTTGCCTGCAATTCCTGAATAGTATGTATGAATAACTTTATAAATGGGTCACCAGGTTGCTGGCAAAGAATGCTGCACAACAAAGATAGTTTTTCCTAAGACAGAAACAAGAGTAAGTACAGATCTGTTGGTTAATGAATGTCTTTGGCAAGTTCCCCATTGTAAAATGTTTTGGTGGAAACACTGGGCATCTGGGGCATCAAAATATTATCCCCGAAACAGTCCAAAGGAACCAATAAAAACTAGCAAATACTTCCCTCTCAGCATCATAGTTGATCAATCCAGGTGGGTCCCAGTTATGCAATGTTCGTCGCCATATCTTGATCTGCATGTCCCATGAACGGCGACTGTACTTCTTATATTTATTTGGAGTACGTGGATGAACACCCAACCGCCGAGCAAACCTGGAACAAAATATGAACGTTACGCAGGCCATGTGAAGGCCTACCAGAACAGAAACACAAGGACAGACTGATAGCTTCACAAAGGTACCTCTAGAGAGGATACAAAAGTGAATGTGCCAAATACTGACATTTGGGCTGGGGTTACAGAATAAGCATTGGTAGCCACCATCATTGTTTGGAAAGGCCCCAGATGTCAACATTCTGCTATATGAGGATAGAAACTTTGATAAAAGCAAAAGTCATTGCTCACTTGGGAACCTGCTGAACAAAACACTGGTAACCAATTGTGTTTTTCCCATAGTCTATTTGCTTCTGCCTCCTTTGCAAGACAACCTCATCTGTTTCCACGTCAGACCTGTAAAAGATAAAGAGGCAATACTAGAGAGAACAGAAATTATTCAAGGCCCTGGAAAGCTACAACAGCGCCCTTAATAAAACTCACCCAGATCCTCCTGGCCTGGATTCTCTTGCCCAATGTGGCCTTGTGCCTACACCCACACTCACCATCTTTACTCCAGGAGAGGAGGGCTCAGCTTGAGGCCTGTTCCAAGAAAATTAAGCTTTGATTACAGACCACGAAAATGAATTACCATCTACAGATATGATGTCATAATCCTCAGTCTAGCAATCACTATTGTTACATTATCCACCATGAAATCAAAATGACCTTTTATTCAACGACGTTTACTATTTTAAGTAGTTTCTGCAAACTAGATCATAGCTTGGGAAAGTCAAATTTTGTATTATACTGACAAGAATCCCTGAGGAACTAACTAGCTGATATCCAACAGCAAGAGAACTGTTCTAATTTGAGACCCAATTTAAGATTTAAACCTCCTGTTTTAGACATTATTGAGGCTGTCCAGCAGCTATGAGACAAACATAAGGTGTTTTCTGTGGACTTTTATTATACTGTACTGAATTCTAATTTAAACATACAAAGTTGAGAAGAAAAGTCCACATTTATATTGTTCTACTCTACATCTCCTTCCAAATGCAACATGCTAGACCAGTGGTTCTTAACCTTTGTTACTCGGATGCTTTTGAACTGCAACTCCCAGAAACCCCAGCCAGCATAGTTGGTGGTGAAGGCTTCTGGGAGTTGCAGTCCAAAACTCTTGAGTAACCCAAGGTTAAGAACCAGTGTGCTAGACTGTATTAAACACTATAGGAATCCCTTGATCTGACTGCCACTTTTCGAACAGATGAAGTTTCCAAACTCAGGTTATCCTTTTCTGGTCTTCCCACAAAACATTTACTAATTTTAATAATAATTGTATCTGTAAGGAATGGATAAACCTTGTCATGTGCAGGGTTGCCTGAATCACACAGTGTTAGGCCACAGCCTCACATGTTTGGGGATGTACAAACTTTCCAGACTTGCCGGCAGGAAAAAAATAGCTATTATAGCAAGCTTGGTACACATACCTTTTTAAATTTAATAAATGTATTTTATATTATTGAACATTGCCTGTTTCCAGCTACACTTCCTGACCACTCAAGGCATCTACTGCAATGAATTTTAATCATAGATAGCATATGCTAATATGAAAAAACTAAGAGGGCAGTAACTGTGCTAGTCTGGCGCAGCTGAAAGTTTTGTAGCACTTTTGAACCGTTAGTGCATTTTATTTGGCATAAGCATTTGTGGAATGGCACTGATAAAATAGGTTGCAGTCCATATGCCAAATAAAATACTGTATAGCAGTTTCCAAATAAGTAGCAATAACAAAAGAAAATATGGAGAAAAGCAAAATATTGTAACACTTTACAGACTACCAAGGGCAGATGATACTTTTATTGGACCCGAGAGTCTGATGCCTGAATATCTCTCTAAGAGCTCCAGAGTTTTTTATAGATCTCTAGGAAAAAATCAGAAGCATGTGTTCATCACAGCTGGTGTTTATCTCAGTTAAGGGTTAATTCCAGAATAAAATCAGACAGCCATTTCCAATCAGGCAACATCAGCTTGTTTAATTTTAGGCTTATAGCCTAAAAAGGCACATTGGGGTGGGGGAAAGTCAGAGAATGCATCTTTTAAAATATCTAAGTTTTAAAAAATAAGAATATATTAAAGGAAATTATTTTCTTAGTCTTTATCAGAATAACACACAGAGAAAATAACTCTTTGGTGCTCGCCCAGCAAGGCCAGTTTGAATCTAATTTAAATCTATGTTGCCTTCATCTGCTGCCATTGCTACATGGTTGTTGTTGGCATGGGGTGTGTGTAGTGTAGCATTGTGCAGCCTTGCACCCATGTGTCTCTTGCCTCCATGATATTCTTATTTGTTTTGAACTTCACAACAAATTCCTCTTCCATGAAAAATTATGGGTCTGCTCAACATCTAATGGAAAAATTAATTAAAGGCTGGCTGCATTCTAGAATTTCTGCAGCTGAAGAAGCAAAAATTTACGGGATGACACCAGCATTTAAGCAAGAGAATAAGTTTTGTTCTCACTACATTCTGGTATCTTGCTTTATCCTTTAAAAGTCAATGAATGGCATACACTTTTTAAAAAGTTCTCATGGTATTTTACACAATTCCTTTCTAACACACCTAAAAATCTTCATTAAAACCTTCATAAACCAAGTTCCTAACCTAAAGGACTAATTTAAAAGATAGAAGCTACTTTCAGCTTTGTATCCCAGCTCATGCTCTGTATAGAGGTGGATCCCCTTACTTTATCTCTTACTTGGTTATTGCAAATTACAGTCAGAAATAATCTCCTGAGAACTGTAGCAGTTGTGACACAAACCTGCACACTTTTAGCTATAACTATGATTATGGATGACGGAAGGGGGGGATTAAGCAGGCTAAGAACGTCTTGAATAATTTTCATGTTCCAAGGCTTGTGGTCCTGAATAGTTTTTCCCATAATCTTCAGCTGGCATTAACATTGTTTTGCGATGATGCCCTACAGCTAGTAAGCAAACCGCTGTATATTTTGCACCCCTGCGGCATCCAGTAATGTGAACGAAAGAACAGAACCCCTTGCAGCCACTACTCCAGCGTCCTCAGACCAATACAAAACTCCTGCCGCCTCGGAATTCAAGAGGTGAGATACCTGTTGGCCACAGCAGCCCAGCCACCCGGTGCAGGACCCACACATTGCATCGTTTGCATCAGCCTACGTAAGGAGCCTTATTAGTATTAGCTTCCCACAATTTAAATCTGCCTCCAGGAGGTGGGAAGGGCGGGGTTTGAAACACCCCTTTTCCCCCCCCCCGGCCTATCAACACGGAGTGGTAGAAAAGACGGCCTTGTCTCTGTGAAGCGATTGGCTGGGCTTCAAAGTGCAACAAAAGAGGGCGGAAATCTCAGCGGCCGTCGAACCATAACAAGCGTGACAACGAAGCCCCGTCTGCCAGTTCTTTTCCTATTGGAGCTGAGAGATTCCCGGCGACGTAACGTTTTCCAATTAAAATGCTGTTAAACGAGTTGCCGGGTGTTTTTTTTTCTTCTGTGCTTCGATGATTGGCTGAGGTTGTGGGCGGTGTGCAGGGATTGGCTGACGACCTGGCGGCAGGTTTAAGGACCCAGGATTCTGTTTATTTTCCAGGCGGCCTCGCCCTGGGTGGGTGGAAAGGATGTGAGTCCTTTGGGTTTGAGAGCGATGGGCCAGTTGGGGTAGCCGCCGCCGCCGCCCGTTTCAGGTGGTACCCGGGTGAGCGAATGTCCTTGCAGGGATACACGTGGGGTTATATACGTCTGGAAGCGCGGACGTAGATAATGGCAGTTGTACAATCCAGTTTGAAAGAATCGGGAACTAGTTAACTCGGTCTCTGATCCGTCACGTTTCGCTTTGCTTAGCTTTAGGGAATCTGTTTTTTTAAAAAATGTAAACACATAACAAATGTCAGTCGTTGCTGAAAGGATTTTGTATATGTTTAAAGGCCATCTTGCTGTCAAAATTTGTCTCGAAATGTAATATGTTTTTGTATTGCTGCTTTTGGCAATTTTCTTGACTGTTATTTTCATTATGTGATATGATTATGTATTTGCATTTTAAGTGTCTCTGCATATAGTAAGAGTAACGGAAGATATTAAAAAAAAACTTTTTTGTCCACAGGTTTTGCTCATCATGTCTGAGAATTTTCCTCAAACAGAGACTGATCATTCTTGCTCACACTATCAGTGCCAGTCAAGTTGCAGGATGATGTTTAATGTGTGCCAGGAAGCCGAGATCTTGCTGCCCTTTACTCCAGAACAGCATCTCAACCCAGTCATGAATTTAACCCGGGAATTTGGGAATCTAAGCACATTAGCAGGGTAATTGTTCAGGATACCGTTATAGAATGGAAAATAATCTCTTTCTCACAGTACATTGTTTTGTAAGATTACATGAGTAATACAAGGAGTGCGTACAATGTAAGTCATATTAGGTAGTTTTGAAAGTTATGTTTTCTGATGGGTATCTCCAGAAAGTGTGTGTGTATATTTGTTATGTGAGTTTGGGGCCAGTGAACAAAGATGGTGAATAAAAGCGCCACAGAAATGAATGTACTCAGAACAGAAATCTTAATTTTTTTATATATTTTGTTCATTTTCAATGGGAATTGGAATAGGGAATAGGAATTGGGATAGGTAAGGAGTGGGAAGGGGTAAAATTCCAGAGAGGGAAAGAATATTCTTACATCCACTTACACAATTATTCTAAAAAGAAAGATCACAAAAGAAACAATTTAGCAATTTTTACCAAAGTATCTATAGTTACTAATCTCTCAATTCCTTTGGACCTTCACATTCTTCTTTTATCTATACTTTCCAATCCATATTTCCAATCCAATTATAAAATCATTCCCAGTTTTTGAGTCCTTTTTGAAATTATCTTTCATTTAATGCTTCTGTTAGTACATCCATCACCACCACTTCCAGTATCTTTTCTGTCAACTTCTCAAGAGACAGTACTTCTTTCTTCAGTGTTTCTCATATAGTATTCTCACTGCAGTAACTACATTTATTATCAAATATCTCATTTCTTTATAATTTCAAGCATAATAATCAATAAAAACCATTCCGGTTTAAATGGTATTGCACAAGATACATTTTTTGTAACATTTCATGTACTGATTTCTAATAATTTTTGCTTCCCTACATGTTCAGCAGATATTATAAATATTACCCTCCTAGATTTTACATTTCCAACATTTGTTGGAGATATTCTCATACATTTTAGACAGTTTAGCGGAAGTCATATGCCATCTATAAAACATTTTTTTTTAATTTACTGATTTTGTGAGTTTAATATTATTCTGCCAAATTTGTGCCCACTTTTCTAAATTAATATTACTAAGGTTTTGTGCCCAATTTATCATATCTTTTAGCACTTCATCTTCCATTTTCATATTTAGGAGATATTTGTACATTTTAAAAATTATTTTATCACCTATTCCTAACGCTAATTTATCAAATGCCATTTGTTTTTCATAAAAGTCCACTATTTTATCTTTTACATACCTGGAGTCTAGTTGTAATCTCATCCACCAATCTAGAAAGGCTTTCTGCTCCTCTAGCTCCTCTGTAGTCCTTAAGCAAATCTCTATACCTCAAAAGTTTTGTTAAGTCCATTAAGGTTGGCTGTATAAATGCTTTGAATGGTGACACCCACCCTGGAATTTTAGTCTACATTTTCTTTTGTGTCTTATTCCAAATCCATAACAAAGTCTTTCTTATCATATGATTATTGAAGACTTTATGATCTTTATCATTTTGGTACCATACAAAAGTGTGGGGAAAGTCTTTAGTTATGATGCATGTCACCGGTGAAGAAGATGTCTACAAAATGTCTACCTTCTTCTCCGGAGGCATGTCTTTTTTATTAAGTACCATCATTTACATAAAGAGAAGATTTAGCCAAAGAGGGTCGAGAAACTTATCTTATCTACACATTCCACACATGCTCAGAGAGAGAATCATAGAACAATGCATCTTTATACTACAATAGCTTGATTATGCTAAACACCACTGATGTATCCCTTAATAGCCACAAGATGGAACTTTAGACTAAAAACTTCCCACATCTATCCTCACAGCAAGCAAATGTTCCCGCCCTGAGATCACTTGATGAACATCACGGCCAAATGGAGCCTTGAACCCAATTCTAGCCACTACATCACAAGATCCCATTTGTATGAATTAAACCACATTGTTGAATTGCTTTTCATAAATAAATACTGTAGTTCCTTTCAAATAATCGCAGCTGTTAGGGGAAAAAATGTTTTCATGTATTTCTGTTGCTTAGGTAGTTGATTTCTGTGCACGTCTTCAGTATAAACATTCTCAAGGTAACTTGTAACAAGAAGGAAACACATTTTTTTAAAGAAAAAGTAGCAATAGCAAATTTAAAATGTAGGATGGTGTGGCATTTTAGTCATCTTCACCAGTGATGTCTTGTAGAATGGCTGCCAGGTATAATCCAGCCGCAGATTAGAATGGTCTCTGCCTAAAAATTCATAGAGCAGAAGAAGTCTAGGAAAAAAACCCTGCAAAGCTGGTACAACTGAAACAGCCTTATGTTTTCTTTTAAAAACTTGTACTGAAAATTGATCTTTTAATTTATTAGTTGCTTTTATATCTTGCTTTTCCTCCAACAAGCTGTAAGCGGCCAACATGGCTCTTCCAGCTTATCTTTATCCTCACAATGACTCCTTGAGTTCTAGAGAGAGAGAATGATCCAATAACAACTTGAACAACCTGTGAGTTTCATGGCTCAGTGGGAATTTGGAACCTGGTACTATTTGAGCCTAAGTCTAATGGTCTAGCTGTGACAGCACACAGAATTTGTATCAGCTGTATGCCTGTTCTCTGCACCAACATTATAGTTTTATTCTTGCAGGGATACTCCAAGACGTTGCCTAGATCTGTCCAATCTCAGTAACGAGGAAGAGGAAATGGCCTTTAGCTTCAGCCACTCCCCAGGAACATTGGAAACTGGTAACGACCACTGCCGCAGCATTGCCTTCTGTTGCTTTTTTTTAAAAAGTCATTTGATCTATGAGAGTGTCCCTTATCACTGTCGGCCAGCTTGCCAGCCAGTTTCATCCTTTATGTTACTCTGTTGTTCAAACCAGTTAGCTGGGATACTTGAACTGCTAAAGCCATTTTGATTAGATTTTCTTTAATGGGGCTTAATGCACCTTCAATTTGACAAAACTTCGGGAGGCAGTGGAAGACAGGAGGGCCTGGCATGCTCTGGTCCAGGGGGTCACGAAGAGTCAGACACGACTTCACGACTAAACAACAACAGCAACAATGCACCTTCAATCCAAATGAACCATCCTCTCTGCTCTATAGAATAAGTATAGTACAGAAATTTTGCAATCTGAAACTCCAATTGTGCTACAAAAGAGGTGGCGCTATAGGCGCAGTACACCCTGGGAAAACCCTTTCGTGGTGCGGGGGGAAAAAAGAAAACAACGTAAACCGGGGCTTTATTTCTTATGAATTTCGGTTCGTAAACCAAAAATTATGTAAACTGGGGCGTTCACAAACCAAGGTACTACTGTATCTCTGTATTATGTTGCATCTAGGAGTCTGAGCAAGGAGCCCTGGTGCTACATTCTATTAAGAAATGGATCTTCTCTAATCTTTGTCCTTCGATGTTGACCTTCTGTTTTGGGGTTATGAGACAGAACAGATAAGGAATGCTGAAGGGCATAGGTCAGCTGTTTGCAGCCTGGCATCACCTAGATATGGTGGAGTATAGCTCCCATCATTCCCTATATATATATATATATATTCAGAATTTTTCACAGAGAATCCCAAGTGTTAGACTCTTAAATAAACTCAGCGCTAAGACAGCCTCATTTTCATTTCAAAAACTCGTATTTCATGCTCCCATGAAGTTTTCCAAATGCCAGGTTCTGCATATGGGAATGTTAAGAAGAAAGCCTCTTAAGAGTGGTCCAGGATCTGCAGTACATCCCCATGGTGATTTAAAACTATCTGGTAACTTTTCAGAATTTTTCACAGAGAATCCCAAGTGTGGTTTCTGTGCAGTTTTTTAAAAAGTGACCAGATATACTAATCTAAAGTTCACAGTTGCCATCGAGCAGTGTTGTGCCCTCTCCAACATGCACTGTCGGGGGGGGGGGCTCAGCTGGCAGCAATAGTAGGACCAGCAGGAGCCCAGAAGCCTATGCAAGGGGATTGCTAAGCTGCTGCAAATGAAAACACCGTTCTTTCGTTTCCTTGCATTTAAGAATCATTCGTACTACAGCAGGCAGCCAAGGGGTGACCCTCCCTCCAAATGTTGTTGGTCTGCAACTGCAACCTTCATCATTCCCTATCGGCCTGGAGAATGATGGGAGTTACAACTGAATGACATCTAGAAGACCATGTTGCCTCTCCTTATATGAAACGATTGGGGTCTGCCCTATCAGTTGGTTTTCAGGGTATATAGAGTGCATGGAAACATCATAGTCCTGAAATAAAACTTGCTTTAGAGGAGACTTATCATTTCTAAAGGCTTCCAAGAGCAACAATGCTCCCTTTTTTAATTATTAAAAAAGTAGGTGCAAAGGTGTCTTGGAGGAGCCACAAAAGTGGAAAAGAAGCCCACGCAGCCCATGGGATATTTTCATGGTTGCCTCTGATCACAAACATCTGGCTTTCATTCCATCCGTTCTCTTTTACCTCTGAATCCTTTCTTTTCCCCACTCCTTCTCTTGCCCCACTGCAGGTCAGAAGAGCTCAACAGGACCTGAAGATCCCCAGTAAGTTCTGCCTATAGTACACATTTCTAGAGGTTAATACCATGTTTCCCCAAATATAAGACAGGGTCTTATATTAATTTTTACTGCAAAATGCATTAGGGCATATTTGCAGGTGATGTTTTATTTTTTAATGTAAAACAAACTACTTTTACTCAAATACAGTCATGCCATCTTCTTCTGGTTGCTGCAGAATGGTGGAGGGTGGAGTTTCACTTAACTGGGGCTTATTTTGGGGAGTAGGCTTATATTACAAGCATCCTGAAAAACCCTACTAGGGCTTATTTTCAGGTTCGGTCTTATTTTTAGGGAAACAGGGTAGTAGTTGGCTTGTTTTGTTTAGTTTAGGGTTTTTTTTTAAATGTTGCTCTGCTTTGAAACCTGAGAATAATGAGGGATCATGGATGACAGTTGCTTCCTCTTTTGAGCCTGAGTTATAAGCTTCCAGGAGAACCGGTGAATCTGGAGCACATTGTGGAAATGCTTGGTCTCTTGAGCAAAGCTTGCCAAGATCTCCAAGACTTTCCTCTCAGTTGTCTCTGGCTTGAAGAATAGCATGTTGTGAAATATGCCCTTTGGCTGGAGTGGGAATGTACTTATCTGCTGCTTTAAAACCTTTTTAAAAGTAAGGTGATTCCTTTTGTAGCTTCTGTCCTCTGACGAGTTCCAAATGACATTTTGCTCACTTCTCCTAAGCTGGTAATTTCTGGTTCAGCCCTGAGGATCCCATTGGACTTGCTATGAACTGAAGAAGTTCATAGCATTTTGCTGCTTATTTGCATGCTGTCTTATACTGAGTCAGATCCTCAGTTCACCCAGCCCAATATTGCCAACTCTGTCCGGCAGTAACGGTCCAGGATTTCAGGCAGATTTTTTTCAGGCAAAGTGAGTGAATAGTTTGCGTGTGCATCCCGTTCATAAAAATGGGCCTGCCCTATTAATAAGCTAGAGGATGTGTGGCATCATGTTTTTCAAGTCATCTCGTGAGATTTGGGAAGGCCAGGAGCCTTAGTCTGTCTTCTTCCCCCTGGGAAATGGGTGAGCTGGGGAACATCTCTGTCTGCCGAATGTTGTCATCCCAGTGCACCTTTTGGGGGCTTGTTGCCTAATTTGCCCATACTAGGGTGCTCCAACATCCTTTTTCTCCCAACAGAGGCTCAAGGAGGCAATGTGTGCAGCAGCTCCAGGTGAGCATCTATCCCATCGGATGGAATGTATTTATTTTCTTCCTGTGTTTTTTTTTTACCCTTCTTTACACTCGAGCATTATCTCCCAAAAGCAGCTCATAGAAATTGAGAGAGAGAGAAAGAGAGAGAGAGAAGTAGAGCTCTGCCACTAGAGGTACAGTCTATGGAAACGAGGCACACAGAGAAGAGAGAAAAGGGGAGGAAGGGAAAAGGAAGAGGAGGGCAGTTTCTCAAAGTCATGTCAAGCAGGCATTTTAGGGGAGTTTAGACCATCCCTTGGTGATGGTCTTGGTGGATTACCAGTTAGTAGCTCTTGTTTCTCGAGGGCCCGGGGGTGGGGGAAGCAGAGCACTTTTTCTACCTTCTAGTTGCAGGGCTACAGCCAGCTCTGGAACCGAGTGTGCCAGGCAACAAAGGGAGGAACAAGCAGCTTGTGTTTTCTTCTCTGGTCAATGTATGTGGTTAGGTTGGTCTTTGCACAGTGCATAGTTGGACTCTGAGCTCTACTACCATAGGAAGTGATGATAGCTTTCAGAGGGGATTGGACCAGTTCTTGGAAGATGGGGCTATCATTCACTACTGGTCATTATAATCTTGGGCACCGGTTGCCACTGCTCTGAGAGTCACAATCAGTATTTGCAGCAAACGCTGATAATTTTCCTCCCCTTGGCACTGAAGCCCCAGGTCCTGTGCAGCACCCCAAGCGGCATCCGCCGAGGCAGCAGGGAGATCAGCAGTCCTTCCTTAAACAAGGAGAATGTGAGTACCTGTTGCCACAGGTGGGTATTTCCACCAACCGACAGGTAGGCAGAATGGGCTCTCTGCGGTGTTCTAGGCCCAAAGGGCACGGCGTCTGAGCACATGGTCTCCATTTTATGGTAGCGATGCTTGCCTGGCTGAGGAACACATGGCTGGACTGCAACTCCCAGCAGGCTGAGGTAGCTATCCCATGTGGACAACTACAAGCTGCCTAACACTATCTTTCCTGAAAATTTTTGATCTTGAAATTAGGGTCAGTTCTCAGTGCTAAAGACTATTTCTTTCCCTTCTCATCCCAGGAAGGAAGGCTATTTAAGCACCCAGGATGGCACATGGCAAAGTCCTTGCTGTTCCAGAAGAGACTACCCATCTCACAGCAGGCCTGCTATGATGCAGTGGAGGTGACTTTATATTCTTACTAGCTGGTCTACTCTACCTGAGGTTGGAAATCTCAGCGAGTCCAGTGATAGGTAAGGTCCCATGGCAGGAGATCCCAACAGGAGAAGACATCCAAGATAGATGGGAGTTTCTAAAAAATGAACTTCTAAAGGCACAATTTCAAAAGATCTCCTGTATGGAGAATTAGTGCAGGGAAAGCACCTCAGAGGGAGTCCACACCTGCAATACAAGGATATCTGCAAACGGGATCTGAAGGCCTTAGGAATGGACCTCAACAGATGGGAAACGTTGACATCTGAGCATTCAGCCTGGAGGCAGGCGATGCATCATAGCCTCTCCCATTTTGAAGAGACACTTGTCCAGCTGGCCAAGGCAAAGAGGCAGTCCCCAAACCAGCCAAATCAGGGAGCTGGACAGGGGACAGATTGTATTTGTCTTCAATGTGGAAGGGATTATCACTCTCGAACTGGCCTTCTCAGCCACACTAGACACTGTTCCAAGACCTCTGTTCAGAGCACATTACCATAATCTCTCAATACTGAAGGATGCCTACTAAAGGCACAATTACAAATAATTGCAGCAAGAAAAAAAATCTGGAAGACAGCAAAAAGATCACTGTGGCTTTACAATAAGCTCAAAGAGGACTTGAAAATAAAAAGGACACGTGTAGGAAGTGGAAGGAAGGCCAAGCCACAAAGGAAGAAGATAAATGGTTAGCAAAGAATTGCAGGGATGGTGTCAGGAAGGCAAAAGCTGAGAATAAGCTGAAGTTAGCGAGAGATGCTTCGTAAAAGCAATGAAAAAGCATTCTTCAGATACCTGTGTAGCGAAAGACAGAGAAAATAAACAGTGGCTCAGCTACTGAGTGGGGATGGAAAAATGATAACACATGACAAAGAAAAGGCAGAAGTGCTCAATTCCTACTTTAGCTTAATCTTTTCCCAAAAAGTTGTCTATGAAGTACACATGGAGGGAATAGGATTGCAGCTTGAGATTGACCAATAGTCACACAATCGCTTACTACTTTGAACAAATTCAAATCTCCAGGGCCATACGAACTGCATCCAGGAGTGTTGAAGGAACTGACTGAAGAACTCTCAGAACTACCTCTATTCAGCACAGGTTAGGCCTCATCTTGAGTACTGTGTCCCATTTTGGACACTGCACTTTAAGAAGGATGCCAACAAATTGGGCCAGTCTCAGAAGTGGGCAGCAAGGATGATCAGGGGACTGGAAATCAAGCGATGTGATGAAAGTCTGAAAGAACTGGGCATATTTAGCCCTGGGGGGGAAATGATAGGACATTTCAAATACTTGAAAGATTGTCATAAAGAGAAGAGGCCAGATCTGTGCTCAAATATCCCAGGGTGCAAGACACGTAATAACGGGCTCAAATTACAGGTTGTATGAATTAATTATGCCTCATGACGCCTTCCCCATAGGCATGAATGGAGATGAAGCCTTGTTGGTGTGGGGGGGAGAAGCATGATGCATGCAGTGATGGTGGATGGAAGCCATAGTGTGGTCCCTTCATGAGTAAGACCTCTGCATTGTTAGATTTTAGGTGCCAACAGTTGTTGTGGGGGTATGTGTGTGCATCACAAGTGATGTTTATTACTAAAGAGGTGTGTGTCACAGAAGGAATAAATGAGCCATTGCATACAGATGCGTCTTGAATGGCTAACCTAAAAAAACCCAAAACACCCCCCCACACACACACAGTTGCACCTGCAAGAATATTGGAGAATCAGCAGAATTATGGATTCTACAAGCCATAGAATTTCAGAGCTAGCAGTTCTAGGAGACATCCATATATTCTACGAAACTGAAATGGTCGCTGGTGTCAGTAGCCAATGACCTGGAATAAGTGCTGTTACTGCATGAGGAGGAACAAGTGATAGCTGTGGGCCTTTTCTCCTGGCAGGGAGCAGGAAGGCTGGAGATGAAAGATCTTGGCAGCCCAATCGCTACAGTGGCACCACCAAGAATTCCAGGTGCCTTTTCAGAGCTTTGTCCTGATGAGCAAGAGGAAGCAGAGGTGAGGAGGGGATGAGAAGGTTCCCCGGTAATCAACTGTGCTGATCAGGGTGCAGATGCAGGCCAGTTTTATTTCCAGCCATCGTCATTTCCCTCCGCCAGGGTTCTAAAGTATTTGCTTAAAATACAGTAAGAGGTTGAGGTTTCCAAGTTATGAAACAAAGGAGTGCCTTGTGGAATTTGAGAAGGGGTTTGCTCCATGCTCAGTCCTGATCAGTGAATTCACGAGCGATATTGAACTCTTGAACTGTGATGTTTTGTCCACATGGGTTGCCTTTTGTTTTGCAAAGAAACTTCCTCCCCTTTTGTGTTTTGTTGTAGACACCCCTCTACCTCTCACCACTGAGACAGTGGAGCATCTGCTCCAGGTGCAGCATAGGTTTTCTTCCATGGGGGAGGGGCATGTTCGGAGAACAAGGGGTTTGTAGATCCCAGCTCTTCCCCAGTCTGTCCTTTTCTCTTCCCCCAAACACTTGTTAGCAAAACACTGTTAGCAGTACAACTCTCAGTGGGGTTTTCAGCCAGCGTACCAGGGGCATAAGTGGTACTTCTGCAGCTTGTTGGGGACCAGCTGACTGGCTGCAAGATTGCAGTCTAAATTGTATATAAATAGTGGTATTAAAGGGAAGTTTGCACTGTGCTCTTGTAAACATAAGGGGTTAATTGTTTCCTAGCCTTCATATACAGAACGGTGAAAAATCCAAAAGAGAGCAGGGCAAGCAATGCCTGCTGAAAACTCCTCTTACATACTACTCCTAAATGTGAAAGAGAGCTCTGGCTTCTTGTGTACCTGACTACCTCATTTTGTTCCACAGAAACCACTTGCTGATCACCTTTCCAGCATGGCTATTTTGCTCTCTGGACCCCTCCTTACCCAGGACATCAATGTCAGTGAGGTAAGTACAAAGTTTAAACCAAGCTCCATGTCCGAATACCTGTAGTAATTACAATTATTTTCTTCTACCAGCTGGCAAAACTCTTTTTCTTTAGGCAGGCCTTTGGCAATTAGTAGCTTCAAACACCTGGATTTGGTTTTCTCTCTTTGTTAGGAAAAGGACTATTAGTATTTTAATTAAGAGATTTTAAGGTGTTTTAATTGTATTTAAATAACAGAATAAGTTTAATTCTATTTTAATATTTTTAGCTTTATTGTATTTGAAGTCTATTTTTCTTTCTAACTTTCTTGCAATCTGCCTTTGGTCCCATTTTGCCAAAGTATATAATTCTGTACAAAGTATAGCATTCACCCTTAAGGGGGGGGAGAGACAAAAATGCCTTACCTGGCCCATAAATTGTGTGTTCCCATTCCGGAACTAACAAAGAATGGCTAAAATCCTGCTGCGACTCATGCTGCTTACCATTAAAGCACATGAGCCCTGATGCCTTCTAAATGCTTGTGAGAGTTTTCCTGGCTTTCTCCTGACAGTCTTCTCGTTCATGTGTGGTTTTGAGCAGGTCTCCATGAACAAGAGCCGTCTCTTCCGCTCCCCATCACTGCCAGAAAAACTGAACAAGCCCTTGCAGAAGAGGCCAGTAAAGGTCCACAGCGATGAAACTGTCCTCAAGGTGAAACAAAACAACAACCTTGTCCAAGAGGAGCCAGATGGGGTAAGCTCCTGCTTGGTTCAAGTCTGAGCTCTAGGACCCTTATCCTGAAGGTAGAGTAACAGTCCTGGTAAGGTGTTGCTAGCAGGCAGTAGATGTTGGTCAGTCAGTCCTCATATTGCACGTATTAGTCTCTTTTTAGCCACACAAATTAGAGTATCAGTGACTCAGTTGCTTCCATCATACTGAGGACTGCCACCTTCCTTCTAGATGATGCTGTTGAAGAAGACGGTCTCTCTTTCTGACATGGAAATCATCAGGGCACTTGATCAAGACTATGGCATCAGGCAACTGATTGGAGATTTCTCTAGTGTAGGTTTCTTTTGGCTCCTTTAACATTTGGGGTGGTGGGAAACGAAGGCTGACATGGTGTACCAGAACAGACTCTCTCATCCATGTAGAGCTTGAATGTATACAAGATATCTGAAAAAAACAGTGTATGCTGGGAAAAGCACACTTTCCACGTATTTAATAGTGCTTGCTCCTACGCTATGCTGCTCGAAGCCTGAGTCAACGCCAAGCATTTGGGAAGCTTCGCATGCATGTTGATAGGCAATACTTAAGTCTTATTTAGGCACTCGCCAACCTGACAGCCTCAAGAGAGCAGTACCTACCAAGGGGATGTGGGCACCCCTGAATACCCATCTCTGACACACCTAAAAATAAATGTAGGATTCTGGCTGTTTGGTCAGAAGGAACCCTAGTGAATGCACCATTGCTAGGTCCCATGGAAGTGAACATAGGATCACCACCTTCAACCCAGAATCTGTCTACCTGAGGCTTAGAAGTGCCAGGAGCCTTTGAAGCTTCTGCAAAGCCAGAAACACAATGTGGTTATGTCTTTCTAGGTGTATGCACTGCCAACAGTAACAGGGAGGCATCAGGACCTGAAATACATCTCTGCTGAGACTGTGAGCCATGAGTACTACTACTCTCTCCCTCCCTCCCTCTCCCCCGTATGTGTTCTTAGCTTTACATACTTGTTCTTTCTCTTCTACTTTGAATGAATACTGGCTTCCCAACCTCCTTCCTTTGCTGTTGCTTCATTCTGTAAAAATCCCAGATGCTTCTTTGAAAGTCTTGCTGTTTGTTTCCTAAAGTGGTTTTTTATATATATATATATAATTTTTTTCTACAACACCAACATTATGTTAGTGCCTCCTAGACCTGTCCTCTAACCCTGAAGAGGGTAGATCTTCAGATGGGGAAGGGATCGGGCCTTAACATTAATGAGAATATATTGAGTGGGAGAGAAAGAACCTGCACTTCTATTTATGTCATACTTTCTGCCTCTCTTCCTCCAAGGAACTGTGGGTAACGTATATGATTCTCTCTCCATTGCCTATTTTATTCTCACAACGGCCTTGCAAAGAAGGCAAAGCTGCCTGATGGTACTTGCGTTACATGTGAGTGCTCTTCTCCTCTTCTTGTAGATGGCTGCTCTGCTGCAAGATCAGTTCCAAAGCCTTATAGAGAAGTTCTTCACCATTGACTGTCGTTACCCCTATGAGTATCATGTGGGTCATATTAAGGTGAAGGGCTCATTGCCAGAGGAACCCTAACCAAGAAAGCAACTGGTCTGGGAGTTGCACGAGGGTTGTTATCCTGGACTATTGATGGACCCTTCTTGTTGTCTCCCACTCCAGGGGGCTTTGAACATCCACAGGCAAGAGGATCTCTTTGATTTTTTCCTGAGGAAGCCTCTTTTCCCCTCAGCACCGCAAAAGCGTCTCATCCTCGTGTTCCATTGCGAATATTCTTCTGAGAGGGGCCCCAAGATGTGAGTGAAGGTCCCAGACAGGCAGCCGGGGAGTAGGGAGAGAGCAGGAGAACAGAACGGGGTTTGGCCAGGTGGTTTGCAAGGTGCCTCCTTTTTTCCTTTCTACTTACTGTTCTGACCTTGCCACTGTTTAAAGGTGTCACTACCTGAGGGAAGAAGACCGAGCCATGAATGAGTATCCTGCATTGCACTATCCTGAACTTTATGTCCTTCAGGGCGGCTACAAGGACTTCTTCTCCACATACAAGGTAACAACAAGACTGTTGACCTAAGGGTTTGTAGCGCTGTGACATAATTATCTGTCACATTGTTCAAAGGACTGGTTGCTTCTATCACCCTTTAAAGATTGGTGTTTAATCATCCATGGGCAAAATCCTGTTGCACGACCTTAATCTGGATCATGTATCAGAAATTTAAACTCATGGAAAGTTTCTTATTCCCCCCTCCCCTTTCAGATTACCAGGCTCCCTTGGGCCCCCTTTCATCCTGGGGAAGCCTTTGAGAGCCATGGGATGCAGGGGTGGAGTGGAGTCTTGAAAAGAAAAAAAATCATCACCAGGATCCGGACCACCAGCAGTGAATCAGCAGGACATTTTTTACTATTAAAGTCTTCCTCCCCACCCTCACTTCCTGACTCTCTCAAAGAGTTCCTCGTGGCAAAAGGAAGGCCGAAGGAGACTTAAAACTTGAAAGGGGGATAGGGGTAGGAAACTTTCCATCTTTTTACATTAAATATTTATGGCCTTCTAACCTGGTTATGTGAACTTGCACCAATAGGATTTTGCCCATTATTGAACACTTTGGTGTTCAAAGCATGCTGCTTATATACCACATCATAGCACTTATAGCACTCTCTCATTTACAAGTTAATTATGCAGGCTGCACATTACCTACTTAGCAAGCTGGGTACTCATTTTACCAACCTTGGAAGTTTGGAAGCCTGAGTGAACTTTGAGCCGGCTACGTGGGATTGAACGGTCATAAGTGGAGTACAGCAGTTTAACCACTGTACCAGGAGGCTTCTGTTCAACATTCAGAGTGCTTTTATGATGTAACGCAAAACATTTATACAGTTATGTACAGTAACGAAAGCCAGAAAACACCAGACATCATTATAATGTATATTGATAAACCCCCCAAGAAGTAATTGGGAGTCATTCATTTAAAAGCTGGAACAAATTGATGTGGCACTTAAAATGCACTAACCTAGGTTCTAGACATACATTGCAAGGGGAGTATGTTCTTCTGAAGGAGTGCCACCACATAGAAGTCCCTGCCTCCAGTTCCTTAAATCTTGGAAATCAACTAGCAAAAGAGAGACTGTATCTCAAGGCATTTTAGACAAATAGACCTTTTTCAGGGGTGTATATCTCTAGAAATATTATGTAGAAATCGTAGCACAGAAATAACTCAGATACAGATAAGTGATCTAGTTACCCAGTCTGTGAAAGACCTAGGCAGCCTAAGATGGCTGCCCTTGAAAAGGAGCACTTTGGCTTGTATAGAAGCAGTCAAGTGTGAGATATTACAATGACAACTATAGAGGACTTCAAGGACTGAAACCAGCATTTTGATTTGTTTCTGAAACCACACACAGCTAAAGTCAGTGGTAGTATGTATTCACGAAGGCTTTCATGGCTGGGATCTAATGGTTGTTGTGGGTTTTTCGGGCTCTTCGGCTGTGTTCTGAAGGTTGTTCTTTCTAACGTTTCGCCAGTCTCTGTGGCTGGCATCTTCAGAGCAGTGTGACCAGAGCACACAGAAAAATATGGTACCTTCCTTCTAATCCTGGAGATTATACAATCCCCATCATGGCTTCTAACCTGTGATGGACTTTCCCTCCAGGAATCTGTCCAACCCCCTTTTAAAGGCATCTAGGCCAGATGCCATCACCACATCCTATGGCAAGGAGTTCCACAGACTAACAACACACTGGGTAAATAAATATTTTCTTTTTTCTGTTCTCATTCTCTCAACACTCAATTTGAATGGTTCTACTATTGCATGAGGGGGAAAAGAGCTTCCCTCTATCCACTTAATCCATCCCCTGAATAATTTGATGAGTCCTAGTAAACCACCTAGCTGCACTTTATCAAACCATTTGAAGTTTCTGTGTTTGTCCACAAAGGCAGTCCTACAGTCTATGTTCCTGTAATCTGATTTGGACATTCAAAGATCTAGCTCGCATAGCTGCTGCAGATGGAGTTGTGAACAATTTTATTTCTCTCTGTAAATTATAGGCACCCAAGTAGCTGTTCCAGATTTCAACCCAACAACATTCATAGCTCCCAGCATGTATTATAGTATTATAGGAATCTGATAACCTTGTGTGGGTATTGTGCCTGAGATCATGAGTGTATGGCAGAAGTGGTTCATGAAAATTCTTTTCCTGGGACTACATACATATCAAAACTTACTGGATGTTTTTATTGCAACTTTATATTTCTGGGGTGAATTTCCTGGAGCCTACAGATTTAAAAGAAATGTATATTCTGATGCATCTCCATTTCTGTCAGGAGCTGTGTGAGCCTCAGGGTTACTGCCCCATGCACCACCAGGATTTCAAGGCCGAGCTGCTCAAGTGCCGTGTCAAAAGCAAAGTGTGGGCAGGAGAACGGAAACGGAGGGATCAAGTTGCTCGCCTCATGAAGCTGTGAGGAGGCCAGAGAGTCACTCTGCTCTCCTTGGACTCTCCCCTGGCAATCGGGAAGCCTGAGGGCTCAGCAGTAGAGGCGGCTGCTGAGAGGCGATTAAAAAGTTGACGTGTTGGGACCACATGGCACTGAAGGAGGCACACCCACGGAGAGGCCCCTTCACCTCACAGGCTTCACTCGGGTGAGGTGGCGCTTGTGCTTCCCAGCTTCATAGCAGAAGGGGAGCCACGAGGTGGGGTGGGGGTGTGCCCGTGAGAAAGCTGGGCACGGTTCTTAGGGGCTAGCTTGCATGCATGTGGTCCCCACGTGGTCCCATAAGTTTTGTCTGGAGGTAGGAAGCTAAACTGCCAAGTCATCCAGTAGTTGCCAGTAAGAACACTTCCCTACTTTTAGGGTTTCTGCATTTGTTTGTCAGGTTTTATAAAGAAGAATAAACTGTTCTGGAATATAAGGACTGTGGCTCATTTGTAAACACCTTTGCCTTTGTACAAGTAGTAGTGGCCAGCAGGTTACAATTTTATTTATTTTATTTATTTATTTACAGTAGTGGCCAGCAGGTTACAATTTTAGAAAATCACATCTGATAGCTCCTTGATTACAATGTGTGGAGAAGCAAAACAAAGCACTTTAACATAGGAGAGCATCTTCCTGGGTCAAATCTCCCAGAAATATCCAGTCTGTATGTGACTTGGCTACAGAGTACCCAATCCAAAAACCTAGTGAAACCCATGTTACTACATCCTCCTTATCATCATAAACTAGAGCAATTGTGAAAGATTGTGTGCTTTTTAGACTTATGGAGCCAGCATAATAATATCTTGTTAAAACAGAAGAGTGTCCTAAAGCTCTGGGCTATTTTAAATAATTGAAGGTTTAGGAATCTTTGAGGAAGGACTGTAAAATAAGCAAAAAAACCCAAAAGCTGTCAGACAACAGATTAGCCACCAGATGGCACCACTGCAATACTCAAGCTGAAGGTGGGAACCTCTTTGCTGCTTCTTTATTGTGGGTAGCAATGCCAGGGGAGGAGATGAAGGGAGGACAGCTAAACCACATGTGCTGAGGAACAGTGTGAATACTAAGTGGTTTCTTTAGGGCTATTGCTTGCACGACAGCAAGCAATTCTGTCGCACCTCTGATAGGCCATCTGAGGGCAAAACAAAGGGGTATGTGACCAGGCTGAGCCATCCATGTTACTTCTACCAGGAAATTATTTTTCCCCCTCCTGCCCTGCTTACCATAGGTATCTTCCTGAGACCTGGCAGTCACCTTTCATTCACTTCTTTGCCCTCAAATACTAGAGCTGAAAATTTCCTAAGGGGCAAAAATCTTAGTCTTTAGCAAGAAAAGTGATGATGTGCCATGCAGCATTTTAAAAGGCTAACAGAATTACTAAGGCATAAGCTTTTGCAGTCTGAAGTCCATTCCATCAAGATCTGATGAAATAGGCTCTTGTTTATGAACACTTTGTTGTTGTTTAGTCGTTAAATCGTGTCCGACTCTTTGTGACCCCATGGACCAGAGCCCTCCTGTCTTCCACTGCCTCCCGGAATTCAGTCAAGTAAATTCATGTTGGTCATTTCAATGACACTGTCCAACCATCTCGTCCTCTGTCGTCCCCTTCTCCTCTTGCCTTCACACTTTGGGTGACAGAAAATTTGCTCATGTTCCTAACGTACAGCAAGAGTCTTTCTTCTTGGTCCAGAAAAGGTCCTTCTTTCTTACCTTCTCCTTAGTTCCTTTGGCCAAGTTGTTGGTGATTATTGGGCTCCACAATATGTCCATCTGTTACCTGCTTAGTATGTGGAACATAACATGAATATTAAATTTAGAATTTCAGTCATAATCTGGTGGCACCATGGATTTCCATTTTTATCTCTCTCTTTTTGGTTGCTCTTGCCCAATTTTTGCTCATCCAGCATAAAGAGCATATGGATAAGCTATTTAAGTTGAGTTTGTATGCTCATGTAATCAATGATGCATTATTATAAGAGTAAAAAGTGCCTCCAACATCTGGGAGTACCTGCTTGCAAAAATGCAAATAATACGCAAGTGCTTGAGGGCCTTTTTGAAGCAATAGCGCAGAACCCTGCCTCTCCCCTCCCGACACCCCAGGTAACGAAATTAGCATCTCTCAAAGATGGCATACTTACATACAGATTTCTGTAAGAGAGGTTGGAAACAGCAATGATGTCAGCTGCATCCATTCCTTGAGGTTCGATCTGGCCATGGTGACACATGCCTTAGTTACATCCTGGCTGGATTACTGTAATGCACTCTATGTGTGGCTGCCTGTGGAAAGTGTTCAGAGACTTCAGCAGGTCCAAAACATGGCTGCCATACAGCTAGCAGGCTGGACACATGGATCACATAACTGCCTTGTTACAGCAGCTCCACTGCCTGCCGATCCATTTCTGGACATGATTCAAAGTGCCGATTCTAACCTATAAAGTCCTAAATGGGTATCTCAAGGTCCATGTCTCCCTTTATGGGCCTGTCCGGGTGTTGAGATCATTAGGAGAGGCCTTCCTCTTGGTCCAACTCTCCTTACAGGCCTTCTCTGTTTATGATGGAGTAATCTAAGGTTAAGATTCCCTGTCATTTCTTTTCCTTTTTTAAGGGTCTCTCAGTGGTTTGCATATATAGTAGCCTAGCCTATGGCTGTTCCTTTCCTCTTGTTTCGCCTTCTGCCCTTTCCCCGAGACAGTTCTTCAATGCTGGTGCTCCTACACCCCTTTGGTATTAAGATGTGTCCATCTTTTCTGCCGAGAGACACAGGCTCAAGCACTAAAGTTCCAGACAGCCTGTCAGTGGAAACTCCCTCTGAGTCATCCAACCTGAACACAAAGCCCATCTTTGTCTCCTGATTACTAACCACAAAACCAAGCCTGCTAATTTGTAAACCACAGGAGGTGCAAACAGCTCTGGTTGTCTTCAGACCTCTTTCAGCACTTGAAGAAGTCCTTCTTCTAATGACATGCTGTCTGTAGTGCATAGTTCGATCCGCCTCCAATAACAAAGGCTTAAGCTTAACACTGTTCTTCCTGCAGGAGTTTCCTGAGGTCAAGCTTTGCTTTTTTGCAGAGTGAAGCAGATGCCTCAGGTATCATACTTTGGCTGTCAACAAAGGGCAGATCATATGATGCAGCTAGGAAAGAATACTTGTGGAATTTTTTTAAAATTTTTTTTCTCCAGGTGCCAAAATAACCTGACTGGCCTAGGGTGACGTGCATCTTGATTTCAAGAAATGGTGGGGAACATTTTGCTATTCTGCTTCAAGCAGCAACATTTCTGGGGCTGGCCTGCCTAAATTTCAATCTGTATCTGTTTCTGTCCTCTCTTTTTTGCTATCAGCTACACTGACCCATCTGTCTTGGTTTAGCTTGTGTGGTAACAGCCAGCCATTAGAAATGGCAAACACCTGCCCAGAGCTGCTGCATTTCCAGGCATCATGCAAACTGGGGATTCTGGGAGCTGAAAGTCTTAAAAGATTTCTCAGGCGGTATAAATGTGTGTGAGAGGGAGGGATTTGCTTACTGTTGTCTGCTCCTGTCATATGCCCCTTTCTGAGTGTGCATTAAATAGTGCTTCCGTTTGCCAGCAGGTGTGACATTATTTCTAAATGAGGGTAGAAAACGTGTTTGTGACATTCCGACAATATTTCTAAAACGTCATTGATCATTAAGTCTTGCTTTCTCTTTTGAACTGTTCGTTACCACAGGCTCTCCAGAACACTAGTCCTCATTGTAATTCCTGTTGCAAGGCACTGGCCCGTCTCTATCTCTGCCAGTATACACTCATCCAGTATTGTTTTGACCAAGGTGAGGTAAACTGCTATTACAGCCCATACAGCAAACAGGGAGATACAGAGAGTAAAAGGAAAGCTAGGGAAAAGAACATCTTAAAATGAGAAGATTCAGAATTTTTTTAAGCTGATGTTCTTGTTCAAATGTCTCTTGCCTGTGATTCTTAAGAGTTACACTAAAAACCACGGAGGAATTAAAACTACTTTTATTTTAATGCCAACTTGCCTCATTTCTACTTCCCAAGTGAATACATATTAATCAAAACATCATTTCTCCCAATTTTGTGATGCTGTTCTCCAGTTTAAAAAAACACACACAAAAATGAATTTCTGTGGGTGATTGCTAAAAATTTATGAACATTGGTTGCTTATATTAGGCAAAACTGGCTACAAAAACCCCCTCACTACTGCAGGAACAGCCAAAAAAATCCTTTCACCTTTTTATGAGAACTTTTACAATGTTGCAAATAGATGCAGAATGGGACTAAATAAAGGTAAAATTGGAAAAATGAAAAACAAACAAAATCTAATGAATTGGCCAGAGATACAGGATTCTAGACAGAGATCCACAAAGTCCAAAGTATTGAAAAGAAACTTCCCTGTCTCCTACTTGGTGCCACCTTTGATTTTCATGGGTCAATCATCATTCAATTTGCCCTTTCATTGTTAAATTATTACTGGCTTTCTTAATGTTAACTTTTATATATATACGAGATAGTTGAATGAAAAAAGATGTAGAACTGCTACTTGGTGGCCACTTGTGATTGATTGATTGATTTTGAGGGGTGTGTGTTTAAAATGTCTTCTTTTGCCAAATTTACGAAGCTACTAAGATTTTAAAAAATGCTTCCTGGAATTTGGTGGTGACCCTGTGATGCACACCAAGCATTGTTTCTTTCTAATATGCACTGCTTGGCTTGTCTGCTTGGTCTACCTTATCTATTGTCTCATTATCTAAAAGCTACCCATAAATGAATTGCTGATACATTTCAATCCCTTTTGTTAACTGCGGTTTTATTTCAGCAAAAAGAAAATGCTTGAGCAGTTACTCATTTTCATTGTTGCTCAACTATTGCATAACCCCAAATCCAGCTGGGAGAGCTCACTGTGATGGTTGTCACTATTTGAGAACATTTGCCTAATCCAGAGTTGGTCCAAGATATTTTGCTGCCTGATGCAAAAAAACAACAAGATGCTGTGTCCTTCTGTTGCAAGTACGGAAGCCAAAACTGCCAGCATTGGCAGCAAGAGGGCATCATAAACCACACACTGAAGGTCAGTGGTCTAGTTTTTCGGGTGCAAGACAGGACAAGGCAGAACACAAAATTCAGTCATCTGAGAATGGCCAGGGAGCTGCCCCAGCTGCCAATCAGTATCAGCTGCACGAGGGGACTCCTCCACTTCACCTTCTGGTAAGACTGGCCTTGCTGCCTAACTGTGGATCTGGACCTTTTATGACATGAGGACACTATCTGTGCTTTGGCCAATATTATCACCATTTTACATATCTGGTGAAAGGCTACACTTTGGAAATTAAATATTTCCCATTCTTTGCTAGCACAGTTTTACTATTCACTTTTTTTTGTCAATTAGATCAGTGCATACCTTGTTGCTTCTTTTAAAAATTTCT